ATATAAACAAATATTTTTTTTAAATGCAAACCACTCTAGATAATCGCTGTTTCGAAATTCTACAACACTAGAAGGCTATATAATAAGTGTATGCTTCGATGAAATATTTACTCTTGTATGTACATATATGCCGCCTCATATCAATTTATTAAATATCTCCAAAATTAATTTCTCAATTATTTCAACTGTTTCCTCAGAAGATAATCTAATAAAAGCCTCAGTAATATTACATTTGAGGAGTTTAGCCTTCAAAAATATGAAATTCGCTTAAAGTTCGCTTGCATCAAGTGTCATTGTTGTGCTTTGATATGCAGTTGAAGTGGGTTCTTAGTGGAGTAACCTTGTTGTCCACATATAACAATGAACGAATATTTTCGTTAGAGTTCGGGAAATATTTGCTCTCACTCAGCATGCCTTTTTACAGCTACATAAAAAATGCAGAGAGTAAAATATTAGAAAGAGAATAAATAATTTTAAAGAATCACACATTTTGCGTCTCGTAAAAAAATTAACTATTTGTAACTATTTGTAAGGAGTGTGTCCTTTAAAAACCAAATCATTGTAGTTAAATTTGCAAACATAATTTTTCTAAAATACAGAACAGAATTCAGTTTATCACATCCTAGCCTACCTTAACCGAAATCAAAGGGAAAATACCGATGCGTGGTAAAGTTGTGCAGAATACGCGCTCTCAGTTGCCAGCAAACGGTCTCTTCACAACTTTCGTTTTGCACACATTTTCGTTTACTTACTCCAAACTTGGCAACACACACTCTCGCAGGCCATCTATACACAGTGGTAGGAAGTGCTCCATTCACTCCACTTTCATGGTACAAACGGTTCGCTTGAAAGGTGGTGACTGGCGTTTAGTGGGTGTTGAGCAATTGATGGGTGATAGAATGTTGCCTAGGCCAATAGACAATACAGTGAGAGCACTGAAGTTAGCGAAAAGCATTATCGCACAACACATCGTGCCGACGCACGAAAGCACAAAATTGTGCGGTCTCTATATGAGTACATACATATGTATGTATAGACTGTTATAAGTATATACACATGTTTGTGGGTATGTAAATAGTTTTAACTTTGATAGGCGAAGGTTTTGTGCTGGAAACTCTTACTTTTTATAGCTTAGTGCAATACACACCCATATACCATGTAGCCATGTGTATATGTACATACATATATATTTTTATACGCACTCACCCGCATTGACAAACCCTCAAAACATTTCCCAGACGATTTACCGATTGCTACACGAATTTACCGATCCACTCAACGAGCACAGCAAACATGTATGCATTTTCGTGTTAACTTTTACAATAATCATGAATGAACACCTACTACCTACTTACACCTTCGAGTGGTGAGTGTGTACGTGAAGGTGTTTATATGCGTTTGTTAAGTACGCGTGGGGTTGAGTGCTTGTAAAAATACACTAGTACATATACGACGACAAAATAAATGCCGAATTAGCGAACGAAGTTGAATGATAGCGCAAATGTATGAAATGTTTATGGAAAAGTGTAGTAAAATCGATGGCAAAGAGAAAATTCTAAAATTGTGCGTTGCTATTGACTGTCAGCTAGAGGATCTGATGAATTTATTTTATAATCTTTCGCATAAGAAAACGGTCTGTAGAGAGCATAATATAAAAATATACATACATATATGATATGATGATGGAGCAAGGCCTTAGCTGTGGGACAACAGAAAAGGAAATATGGCTTATTAATACTTCTAATTTTATATACTGGAGCTTCTTGCTCCAGCGTAGACAAAGCTTCACTTTCCAACTGACATAATAGTCGCAGAATGCTACAATATATCTCGTACCAATCGACCTCTAGGATGATTGTGATAGACTTCTTGAGCAAAAACGAAACGAGAGTAATCGCTCAACCACCGTATTTGCCAGATTTGGCTTCCTGAGACCATTTTCTGTTTTAGAAATTGAAAAGTAAAAGTAAGTAAGTTGAGTCCAATGACCCAATCTATAAAAATTAAATTTGTATTCGATTTAGTATGCTTACGCAATTTATGTGGACCAGTCCGAATCAAATTTGATCTTGGGTGTATATTTTTAATTTGTTACGATTATAAATATAACATTCGTCAAGTTCTGACTGCTTAAGGTTTAATCATTTTTAAGAATACCTCGTTGAATGGAACAAAATTATGTGTAAAAAACTAAGCATAAACTACAAATGTAGCGCTCAATATTGCGATCATACTCAAAATGATGTGACCTAACCTACCAAAAATCCGTTCCTTGTTTGTTTTTTGTTAATCTATCAACACCTCACGACACTTTTATAGGACTAACGACTATTCACGATAGTTTAAACCTAGGTAGATTTCTGACCACACTTTCTTCTATTATATTATATTTTTTTGTCATAAACAAGTACAAATTTTTTAGAACTTGAAGTTACAAGATCTCCCGAAGCTTTCAGCATAAAATGATATGATAAGAAATGCTTTCTAGAAAAAAACGCAATCTTGGCGGATGTAATATTCCCATTTAATTTATCAATTAATTGATTGTATTGGGGGTTCGAGTAAATGCTACTCATGGTCGATGAATGAGTCAATAAATTACAACTCGCACACACTTTATATACATATGTATGTAAAATCGCATAGTACGGAAAAAATTATGAATGAAACTTTTGGTTATGGCAAAAGTTGAAAAGTACTTGTTATACAAGCTATAAAAGATTGAATAGCAATAAACGAAATGATCATGGATGTGCATATGTATATGTATGTAAATGGACATTTGAAAATATTTTTTATGCTCAAAAAGTCTTTGAAGAACAGAAGGGGTAAGCTCATATACGAATTTCATGTTCTGTTATTCTAAATGAATGGAAAGGCAAGCAAATTGACGGCATCGAAATGATGTCACTGAAAGATAGCAAAAAGAGGAAAGAAATGAATGACTTGGCAAGTTGATTGACTGTCTGATTGTTTGCAGAGTTGGTTGGCTTCGCGAATGATTGAAAAAACTTCCGAATTGTAGTGGGTGTATGCTATAATACTTGCTAGCCTATTGTATTTCTACAAATACTATAGCAAATAAACATAAATGTTTCTTTTGTAAAAATATATTTGTTGTATATACGTATGTACAACAATATTCAATATATGTATAGCGAAGAAACTGAGTACTTAATAACTTTATAGATTATAACATAAAGCCGGCAGTAGTACTTCAAGTGTGGTGTATTTTTCGATTCGCTACAATATAATAAATTGCTTTACTACATGTATTCTTTACGTGGTTATATTATTATATATATATTATGGAGACAAACGAAAAAGTTCATTTATGCTTTTCAGTTTACAGGTTCATTTCTTATAGCATAAAAGGGTATGAAAATATATTTATCTTAATTTTGATCGATTAGTTTGTATGTTAATTCGGAGATTGTAGTGCGGCCTTGGACAATAATCTATGCGAAATTTCGTAAATTTCTTGTCAAATAAAAAAGTCTTCAGTACAAAGACTTGATTTTTATCGGTCACTTTATATCACAGCTATATTCTATAGTGATTCTATACCGGTGGTTCCGACAGATGAGCAGCTTCTTGGGGGGAAAGTGATGTGCGCAAAATTTCAAATCGAATATACTTTGTAGGGTCTCCGACATTTTCTACTGGACATTAAAACCTTCATGGCAAATTCAAAAGTCTTTTGCTACTTTCAATAATTTTAGAGATTTTATGACAAAAACTTCTATGCTACATTTTGATATTAACAGTGCGTGATCATTCGTTCCTCAACACCCATAATTTTATGGAAGCAGTGGTCGCTAGTGCAGCATTAGTGGAGGGTATAAGAGAACAGCTTTCGTTTTGTTGTGTTTATGGCTTCGTTAAATTGTGCGCAATTTCATTAACGACCAAAACAACGATGATTAAACGTAAGCAAATTTCCGAATGTGTTATTCAAGTGCTTTCTGAATTTTTATTTGTTATTTGTTGAAGAATCAAAAATACATTAAGAAAAAAACATTATGCGATAGCGGCATATACAGAGCGGAAGTGGTTTCAATTTCGTGCTGCTGAATTTTTATGGCACACTTCAGCACTTCTTCAAGCAAACGCAAGCGCTTTAGATAGTGTATGAAGAGTATGACTCATTTGAATGGGCTGCGCATCGTGCAAGCGCCACTTGAGGTATACAATATGATCAAATTTGAACCGGACTGGTCAATTTAAACTGCGCGCGCAAATCAAATTGATAAATATTTTGTTCCAAGATTGGTAAAACTTTTTTTTTTAGTTTCGTGTAAAGTTTGATCTCCATATGTTAATCAATGTGTGCTTGGCTGTTTGTGTACGACGCAAAAAGTTGGTCTGGCGATTTCTACCATGGAAAAATTTTTAACGAGATTGCTTGAAATTTTTCGTTTCCAATAAAATCACGACTTCGAGTCGTTGAAAATGTTGGAGAAGTATTTAGGGAGTCTACTTTCAAATGAACACAAGTATATGAGTTGCAGAAAGAATTCAGTAAAAGTCGTGAAGTCATCGATAACTAGCAGTGGATCTCAACATCTTTTATGAATTTGTTCAATAATTTTAGTTAATGTTTTGGGTATAAAACGTGAGACCTGAATTTTTTGCAAAAACTGTGTCGAGTAGAGATCGCAGAAAAGGTGCTTAATGCTCTAAATATAAGCCGAAACTGAAAAAAGAAACAATAGTCGCTGAAGGCACTGAAGGACATTACAGCCGATAAATTCAATTCTAATCGGTTGGAGGCAATAATAAAGATTTGTATAAAAAAAAATGAAAATGTATTTTTTTTTATCAATCCGTATCATATTTGATCATATGGTATTAAAGAAAACACATTCAAAGTTATCGATTTAACCTTTTATAGCCTTTATTACTGGGGAAAGGTATGTCCATGGTCAAAATCTAATATTTACACTATTTTAAATACTTATTGTTACTTTATAAACTAAAATGTTTACAAATTTACGTACCTTTCATGTCCTTCTGTCATGATTTGTAATCAGAAAGGTTCTAATGTGGTAGCGTATTGTGTCGGTGGTCAATTTCACCATGATTAAAGCATAAAGACATTCAAAGCTGAACAAACTTCCGACCGACTGGACCCAACCGACTGGACCGACCGAACGCCTTCACTGCACACACAAATACATGTAACTGTGTAAGTTTGTTACGACGAAGATGTTGATGATGTATCAGACGAAGGAATAAGCGTACGAACCAGTGAGTGACCAACGATCGCCCGATCGATGGATCCAGTGACCGACCGACACGCACCGACTAACGAAACGCTTTGAGCTGTTTGTTCAGTAATTACTTCTTATGACTTGGTCTTGAAGATGTTGTGAATGGTTAATTTTTCTTAATTTGCGATTTGTTGCTTAATATTTTTGTTTATTATATGAAAATTGTCCACTAATATTTACACGGATTTATTATTATTTTCTTTTGGCACTCACAGGTTGAAGACTCTGGGCGTCGTCCGCTTGGTTTGCTGTTTGGCCACCGTAATCACCGTTTGTATACCAAATATACAAAATTTTTAACTTTCTAACTTAATCACTTCAAGCATATGTAATTATTTTTTTTATTTTATAAATGTGCAGAGGCAAATTTTTGTATGTATGTACATACATTGCACCCTAAAAATTTATATAAATGAAAATATACTTTGAGTGATAATTTTTTTAGCTGCTAATATTTTTTAGTATTTTTTTGCCATATTTATAATTTTTTAAACTATGAACTCATAAAAATGTTGTTTAGCGAAAATCTGTAATATTGTTTGGCGGCGCCTTGAAATTTGTGGGCGATGCAAAAGCAGTTATGGCCAAAAGTGATGGCCAAAAATGTGTTTTACAGCGAAAACAAGGAGAATGCGAAGTGGCAGGCATATCATTCTGCGCCGGCGACTCCAACACACATATTCATGCCAGCCAGGCAGCAGTATCGGCAGATACTACCTAACGATAGATACAACAATAAAATGTTGCTTCAACAAGAAAACCAACGCAAACTGCAGCAACAGCAATGACAACAAGAACAAAAACAACCACATCAACAGTAGCACAAATAAATTGGTATGCTTTAAAGCGCATAAGGAAAGCTGAACAGGAGCGAAAAAACAGCAAATACAAAAACAACAATATAACAAATTTTGGGCGATTTCTCTTATTTCTATCTTTATTGCTGCTTCGTAGATGTAGGTTATATTGCTCCTACTGATGTTATTGTTCTCTCCAGGTGCCCATTCTACTTTTTCTTTGGCGACTGTTGCTGGAGTTGCCAAAATTTGTATGTGTTTGTAAAGTATATCTTTTAATAATATTGTCGCTTCCTTTGTTTGTGTTCTGGCGAAACCAGCTCCAATTTTTCGAGTTCTATACCACTTCGCCTTTGTTTTTTCACAATGAATTTTATGTACACATAGGAACAATGTTTTTTCTTGCTGTCTCTCATTTTACGCATGTTTTCGCAGAGCACGAGAGAGCAAGTGTTGCTTGCCCTGCTGCCACAGCCTTCGTTGACCAAAAAACTTCTGCACGACTTTGCACACATACGAATTTTGCCTCATCCTTTACAATTTGCGTCTGAATAAAATTTCTTTATTGTTAACTTTTTAAAAAACCCTAAAATTTCAATATCTGCCCAAATAATTTAACTTTTAAGATATTTCAAAGTAAAAGTCATTATTTCGACTTAATCGGATAAACAAATTTTTCAAATATATAGTTTGAAACGCAAATTTTACCTATACATACATACATACGTAATATTTGGAAAAAATTTTTGTTTTTGTTTTACGGCTCTTTTCTAATGAGCTGCATGTATATATTTTTATTATTTTATTATGAAAGATTGTATAAAATAACTATCCCAAAAAATATTTCGTGGCTCTAAACAAATTTTTCGCTTGCTACATTTTGACCAATCCGGGGACATTTAAAAATCAAATTAAGAGCATAACTTCCTATTTGAATTAAATGCTAATAGATTAAATGTATGATACTAAAAAAATTTTGCAGAACTATCATTGACAATGTTTTTTTAATGTTGATAGTTGAAATAAAACGAACGCAATTGCTGCTGGGCGCGACGCCTGCAACAATCCCCAGCGTGTATTGGAATTTTTTCTCTATATATTGGATAATGCGAACTGTCGTTTTTGGAGAAGCACTGAAAATTTTCACGCAGTCACAGGCACACGCACACGAACACTTGATCTACATATCCACATGTATTGGCATTCGCAAAGTAGACACCACCATGAATTTTTCCAACTTTTCCACTTTTGCCACAGCTTCTTCTTCTTCCAATTTTCTTCAGCTTTTGCAGATTTTTCAATCAGTTAACTACATTTCCAACTTCGATTTCATAACTAACACTCACGTCATTAATATTGTGGATTAAAGCGACGTTTTCTAATTTATTTTTACATTATTTATTTAAATTTTCCTTAATAAAAAATTGCGTGAACATTTTCGCCTCCACCACTATGCCTGATACGCGTATCCGTTCCGTCTGTCCGCATTGACTGCGCTGTTGCTCTGCTCCTAAACGCAGTCGCTCCTATTTTCTTCGTCAGTTGTTGTTTTATCAGCTCCCCTTTGTATTTGCTGGATTGCTGTGACTGCACTAAACGAGCAGGGTTGCAAATAGTGTTCATCACAGTACAAATGTGTGGACACAAGAGTTGTACCGTTATCAAAAAGATTTGTTAAAAAATTAGAAAAAATTAAACCGGTATTTTATCTGTGAGATTAAAGATATTTTTTACTTCAACCATTGTAATAAATTATTTAATTTTTAGTTTCGAAATTAGCGTGTTTTTTCGATATATCCAATATGTAATGTCATACGTTATAACTAAAATAGGTAAGGCTACTCCAATATTAGACATTTTCTGAATGAATTTCTTTTTAAACTTAATTCGCACATTGAACTTGAGATATTTTTTAAATGCGCATGTGCCGTTATGTGTATTTCTCAATGAAAATTGTTTTTGCCTTGGAAGCGAAAATAATACATCCGTACACAATATAAAAACAAATTGCTTGGAACACAAAGTAAGGATTTTGTAAATTATTTGTTAAGAAAAGTTAATAATAATTTCCAAAAAATAATTTACAACTTTCAAAACCTTCGTAAAATTCACAATCATTGTGAATTATTGCGTTCTTTGCTTTAGCGTTTAATTTTTTTTCATTGCCGCATTTTTCGCTTTTACCTGTTTGACAAATCGGGTGTCACTTTTTACTTTCAATGCAGCCAACTTAACGTCAATAATTTCTTTTCGTTCGGTGTGCGTACGTTTGATGACTTAAGGCGGTCAAAACTTTCAGGAAAAGTGCAAATTTTGTGTTTAAATTATGGCTAAAAAGAAAAGTGAGGAGTACGGAGCCGATGGCAATGATGGAGACTATGAAGAGGAGCCAAATTTCGATGATCCAGAGGGCTATGTTGACGACATTCCCGATGAGGGTAAGTGCCAGCGCAGCAGCACTGCGGCTTTGCTATGAGTGATTTTGCACGCCAATCATCGTATATGCAACATAACCTCAAAAGGGGCAAAAATGCAATGAAAATTGAATAATTATGACGTTTATGCAAAAATCGACTCAATAATGTTGTTTCGATTGGTTCTCATAAGGCTTTTGTCTAAATTCCAGAGCTGTTGGCCAACATGTTGGCACAGCGCCCTTTAGAGACGGATGGTGTTGAAAGCGTTGTTGTTGTGGACAACATTCCAAAAGTAGAACCATCCCGATTGGAGAAATTGAAATCTGTTATTCAGAAATTGTTTTCACATTGCGGTGAAATCGTAAATGTCGTCTTCCCGGTTGACGAGGAGGGTAAAACAAAGGGTTATGCATTTATGGAATACAAAAACGGAAGTATGGCTGACGAGGCCGTTAAAACACTGAACAATCATCGCCTTGATAAGAATCATACCTTCTCCGTTAATTTGTTTACCGATTTTCAGAAGTAAGTATAACTTACGTTATTGATGTAAGTAGTAATAATATTACAAAATAATTATTTGCATAGGTATGAAAATATACCAGAAAAGTGGGATCCACCAACACAACAACCCTTCAAAGTTCAGAACGATTTATACAATTTCATCAATGATCCGGATGCTTATGACCAATACAGCGTAGCTGCTGAAACCGCACCTAACTCCGTACAAGTATCGTTTTGGCAAAACACTCTACCTGAGCCCAATGAATTGGAGTCTCGTGAACGTTTCACAGATACTTTTGTGAAATGGTCGCCACTCGGTACATATGTGGTAACATTCCACAAACCCGGTGTAGCCATTTGGGGTGGTAGCAGCTTCCAAAAGATTCAGAAATTCCCGCATTCAAACACACAGTTCGTAGAGTTTTCACCTTGTGAAAACTATCTAGTTACCTACGGTCCAACAGCTACCGGCCAGAAGGTTATTATTTGGGATATTCGTACCGGCGTTGAAAAGCGTTCGTTTGTTGCTGATGGCATGTCCGTCTTATCGATGTTCCGCTGGTCGCATGATGATAAATACGTTGCACGTATGGGCGATAATTCAATTCACATCTACGAAACACCCTCTTTTTACCTGCTCGACCTTAAGTCAATTAAGATACCTGGCATACGCGGCTTCTCGTGGTCTCCGACTGACAATGTAATTGCTTACTGGGTAGAAGAACAAAATCAAATTCCTGCGCGTGTGACACTTATGGAGATTCCAAAGAAACGCGAAATCCGTAACAAAAATCTTTTCCACGTAGCCGACTGCAAATTGCACTGGCAGAAATCAGGTGACTACCTGTGCGTCAAAGTAGATCGCTACTCGAAATTGAAGAAGGATAAGAAGGAGTTGGATGTCAAATTTCTCGGTATGTTCTACAATTTCGAAATATTCCACATGCGCGAAAAGGAAGTCCCTGTAGATTCCGTGGAAATTCGAGAATTAATTCTTGCCTTCGCATGGGAGCCTGTCGGCAATAAGTTCTCTATTATACACGGTGAACAAAGCAATGCGAATGTAAGTTTCTACGAGATGAACAAAGGTGTGAAACCTACACTTGTAAAGAAATTGGAGAAGAAGTCGTGCACGCACTTGTTCTGGTCGCCACGCGGCCAATTCATTGTTATGGCAAATCTTTCTATGGGCACTTTTGAATTTGTTGACACAAACAATGACTTCATTATCACTGCATCGCCCGATCATTTCCGCGCATCCGAAGTTGAATGGGACCCAACCGGCCGTTATGTTGTGACTGGTGTTTCAGCGTGGAAGGTAAAAGAAGATACGGGTTTCAACATGTATACCTTCCAAGGACGTATCATAAGACGTACGATTTTGAAAAATTTCGTGCAATTTTTATGGCGTCCACGTCCGCCCACATTGTTGCCGGAAGCACAACAGAAGGAAATCAAGAAGAATTTGAAGAAATACTATCCAACATTCGAGCAGAAGGATCGCTTACGTTTGACACGTGCATCCAAAGAATTGCTCGAGAAACGCTCACAATTGCGTGAACAATTCATGGAGTACCGCAACAAGCGCATTGCCGAATGGAAGGAGCAAAAGAGCCGACGCCTACAGCTCAGAAATCGTAAGTGTCAAATGCAATAGCTTATCTGTTATCCACTTATTAAAATAAAATGTTCTCTTGCAGATTTTGATACTGATAATTTGGATACAGAAGAAGTTGATGAGAAAATCGTTGAATTTTTAGTCAAGGAAGAAGTAACTGTGCTCGAGTAGTCGAACAACAATTGTACAGTTTTCCATTAAAGCGTACGCCTTTGCTGACAGTGCGCGCACAAAGGCGTAGCTATCAATTTATAACAACAACAACAAAATACGACAAAAACTACTTTTACGTATACATAAATATAAACATTGTATTTAAGCTAAAAATTATAAAATACAATATTTATTCAAGAAAATTGATTGATCAAACAAAAACAGGAGCAAAACAAGCCAACAAGAAGTTCACCAAAAAAGAGCCGAAAACACTATATGCTCTTGTATTTTTTTTTTTTTTTTGTACTATTTTTACTTAGATTTCTTTCAAACGCATTTGGCATACCAACTCGAAACGTTTCACGCGTAACTGACGCATATGCAACTGTGTCTTTATTATTTTTAAATAAAATATTCAATACTAGACTCGTTCAAAATTAAAATTGTATTTTTCTCAAATTAAAATTAGCTAACTGTAAAGCAAACAAATAACTGCACAACCGTTTATAAGCATTGTTTTGCATAGTATTTTTTTTTTTTTTACAATATATAGTCTTTGAAATTCATTTTAACTAAATATACACATTTTGTTATTTTATTCTAGCTTTGTAATTAATTTTATTTGAGTACGTAGTAAGCGTACGTACCCATACATACATACATATACATATGGAAAGTCGTTTGCTTACAAAAATGTTAACAAATGTAGTGAATGTCTCTACTGGTAGTTATGCTGTACTCATTATGCTGATTTTTAACAAAATTAAATATAAATTTGCATTATATTTGTATGCCATAAGCAAAAGAAAAACGAAAACAAACAAAAAAAAAATTGCGAATCTTTCATTTAGTATGCAAATGGCGTGAAGAAACTCAAGTCAAGGGGAACAAGTTTTTGTTATATGGAGGGAAGTGTATAGGCTTTAATAAAATAATGCAAATGCGATGTGATCGCCTGAACATAGTGGAATGCAAACAAAGAAGCTTTAGATATGTCAGAAAACTGCACTCCGTACGATAAAAGCGTGCCTCTTGATGTCTCCCATTGCACATCCCCATAGTGAGGCCTGCATGCTTCCGGTTAAGGAACACAATGCCCTGCTCTCCAAGCAGTATGGTGCTTTCGCCATTAACACCTTCACCGGCTACCTAACAGTGAATGGAGTACTTGTAGTCAAACCACCACCCATGGTAGACGACCTACAGTGACACTTGCGCAACTTAATTCTGGATATTGTAGCAAATTAATTTCCTACCTATCCGAAATTAACCTCGACATATCAAATATATGTATTGCGAGCAATCCCTGTCCCTGAATGACTCTAACTACCTCCTTGCATGTTCAATAAATACCACTCATCTAACACCCCTCTCTTTTTGGCCGTCCGTTAGATGATTTCGCTGAAAATTAACTTGAGCCTTGCCTTCCAAAAAGGGTCTAGATAACCACTACAACAACAACAGTTGAAGTGTCCATTAACAGTAGTCTTTTTTCATAAGATAGTCGTACATGCGGGAAAACATTCCCCAAATCATATTGAAAAATGCGCAAAAGGCTGAAAATTCTTGATAAAATAGAAATCCCGGTCCGTTACAGTTACGTAGATTCGACTGTCGTGGGTAGGAATATAAGAATTGACAACTTAGCGTTAAGTTTCATGAGTTTCGTGGAACCTTAGTTAACTATAAGGTATTACAGTCTTGCTAATCAAGTGTCGTCCTTAAAATACATACATACATGTGTACAAATTACGCTAAATTTTGTCCTGTCTACTACTACTATACTACTGCTCCCCGCTTAACTCATATAGCGGTTACCAATTTTGAGTTAACCGTAATCAAATTTTTTTAGAAACTATAACAAAATGCATTAGAGGTAGCCACTTGGTCAACATCTGCCTGTTTTTATAACACTACTTACCACGATAAGTCCACACGAAACGTTCATACTTTCAACCCTGTCACTACCTGTATTCAGTTGTACCATCCGGTTGCCTAGGAAACGCGCGCAAACTCATTACTAAAAGCAGACAAACACTAATCGAAACATTCTGGTGACTTTCACGTGTCTTAAATCAAATTTTATGAAATAAATAAGAAATAGATAACAATGAGCGGTCATCTCACACAAAGCGGAAAGAAGAAATCGAAAGATAATCGTCGGAAGAGCTTAAAGCAAGTGAACCGTACCAAATCCAAACCTTGCAAATCACGACCAACGCGCGAATACCAGGAAAATGAACGCGAGGTACAAGCTTTATTGGAGAACACAAGCCTCTCTATCGATAACAGTCCACAGAGCCATCGAAAAGATGAGCTAACGCTGAGTCTAGATTTTTTTTGTCGCACCAGCGAGGAAGAATTCTCAACAACCGGAAGTTCTGCGCAACGAAAGAAGCTATTGAAGTGCGAAAGTAATGCAGAAGTCAGCTTAGACAATGGCAGCGAGAGGACTGAAGACGATGATGAGCAGCAGGAAGAGTTTACAACGGCTGACGAGGAAGACGAGAATGCAACTGAGTGTAGCGAGCAAACCGTATCACCTTCTTCTACACAGCAGCGCGAGCAAACCGCTTCCACCTTTATACAAGTCGACGAAGATGAAGTGGTCGTGCAACTGATTGAGTGTAAAAATTTCATACCAGACGCAAATTTGCTTTTCAAGCCACAGGCGAAACTCACGTCGGAACTCGCCTTAACTGCAACTAGTCTTGGCAATCTGAGTAGTAGTGGAAAACCGCAAGCATTACGTGCCAATATCTGTCGCATGCTGAATCGGCATCAAGCCGAGCAGCGTGCAAGAGGTGAGCCTATCTCTAAGGCAGTTGTGGAACAACTAAAGCTTACAAATTCGACTTCGTCGTCATATTCGAAGAATCGTACACTTTATCGAAGCTTTTGCGCACATAAATTCCATCCTGTGTTTTGTGTACCGACACGTCAACCGGACGAGATACCCACAAGGAAATTTGTGCGCATCTACTTAAAGGAACTACTATTCACGGCACATCCGCATTTGTTGGAGGAACATCGACTCTCTAACGCCTTGGAAGAGCACTTTGAGAATTATGTGCAGCGGCAACAGCAACGAGTTTGTGAAAAGCTGCGTGCACAGCTGCAGACCGAGCGTCGCGTAGTTAACGAGCTGTTGCTGCGTGAGTCAAGTAACAGCGCCGAGCAGGAGTCGGCGCGCACAATTGAGCGACGTGCGCGCCAACTAGAAAATCAGTTGTTGAGTGTGCGTGCGCTACGCAACAGGCTTTATGAGGAGGAGGCGCATTCTAAGCAGCTGCTAAAAGAACTACTAGACACTTGGAAGCGTCTCAAGCAACTACGTAAAACACAAGATTATCAATGTACGCGCTTCAAGCTACGCATTCACGTGGAGAATGCGGCAAATACGGCCGCGGTAGCACAACGCTGGGCCGAACGCTTCGAGACTGACTTGAATGAAATTTACCGCGAGGAGTTGGAGATTTATTACCGCGCTAAACGTTTGTGGAAGGCGCGCGATCGCAAGACGCACATAGCCGAACTGCCAATTAAGCCACGTAAACCGGATATCACACAGTTGTCGACGGAGTTACGCGCTAAGTTAGCACAGTGTTTGGGTGCGCAAGGCGAACCGAAGATCAATGTACAACTACATCGTCTATGTGAAGGTGAGTTTTACAATCTGCCCGGTTTGAAACGACTAAAAAGTTTCTACATGAAAATTTACTTTGATGGCGAGTTTGTTAGCGCGACGCGCAGTTATCGCATCGAACCCGATTTACGCATACCGATGAACGAGGTATTTGGCGTCTTTTTGGAGCGGCGCATGCCAAAGAATATACGAGTAACGGTAAATGGACAAATGTACACAATTGTTTTTATATTTTTTAACGCGTTGCTCTCGCCAGCTCTACGAAAAATTTCGACTACATTCTGCGCGCAAAGTCGTCGATATAGAGGTGCCTATACCGCACGCGTTGCACAGCGTCGACACCGAGCAGCAACGCATATTTTTTACAGCGCAAAAATCAGTGGATATCAGTGGACGTCTCACCATACGCTTTCAATGTGAGGAGCAAGTGGACTTGAGCGCTCGCTGGCATGTGCCAACTGCAGCCAACACCAGTCCCACTGTATCGCTTCAAAGCTCACCCACGTGTCAAGCAACCGCGCGAGAGCTCCATGCCGAAAAGCTATTAGCGCAATTAGACGATGATGTGCAGCATAGTGATAACGACGAAGTGGCAAGTGACTCGGCTGAAGCGCCAGCGACAACACTCAACACGTGCACGTTGGAAGAAGATTTGTTGCATTTTTGTCCTATCGAAGAGTTGAAGCACAACCGACGCTTTAAATTATTGCGTTCGCGTTATTTGAAAAGTGATCCGCGCACGCGCGATCTGCGCTTTATTGCGGCGCTTGACAATGAGCTCGAATTTGATTGGTTCGATAAGGAGGAGGCGGTCATTGAAGCGGGCGATTGGATGGATCCCATAGATTTGCATAAACATGAGGGCAAAAAGTATCTAAAACAAATGTACGAAGCGATTCGTAGTCAATGTGCGCGTTTGAGCATTGCAGCAGCAAGCGCCGAACAGTTGCTGATCGGCGATGTGCCTGCCAGTTGGAGGTGTGTAGTCAGATTGACGCTCAATATAAGAATAATAATAATTTCATAACACTTGCCACAGCACATTCTTTCAGGCTTTGAGTTTGATCTTCAATCCCAAACGTACATTGAGCGCGCCAGCCGCACAGTCAACTACGTCGCGTGCGCACGCTTTGGATATGGATGCTAGTCAAAACTACAAGATCGTACTGAATATCGTACGTGCTACCGGCATACCAGTGCGTATACCAAATACGACGGATAACGAGAGCAAGGAACGTAGCAATGAGAGTCCGAATATGTTCGTGACGCAGCGTAAGTTTTGTGAAATCCCAATATTTAGAGTTGTTTCACAAATGCTGCAATTTTACAGTTTATAAGTACTCCAATGTGCGTCCTTTCATAGTACTTAGTTACAAAGATAAATTTTGTCGCTCGCTAACCGTTGAGGGTTCAAATCCGACATGGAATGAGGAACTCATTTTGCAGTTCAGGTATTTTAGCACTCGTTTAACTATCACCAAGCATTTTCAACAATTTGCATACAAAACTGTTTTTGCGTATAGTGGCAGTTTGACGGATCTGCGAGAAGATCTCAAAATCTCTCTCTACGACGAAGTGATCGAGAACCATCTTAACGATGAACTCAGCGTGCGTAACATGGACATTTATCAGCGCATACAAACTAATTGGCTGGGTGAATACCGGTTTCCCATACACACTTTGCTCTCACAACAAAAGGTGCGTGCTTAGTCCGTATATCCGGTTGCCTGTTTTAGAAACTATATTCATTCAACTAGCCACTTTGTTTTATCTTTCAGCTTGATGGCGTAATCGAGTTGAAGACACCCAAAGTGCTGCTTGGCTACAAACAGCCAACTCTGGAGCACATAGCCACACAAGCTGACGTGAATATAGCTATTGAACAGTTTCCGGAAATAAAAGAAACGGTGCGCCTTTGGTTCTACATGAGCATTGAGCCGCATGTCACACTGCCACACGTCAATACCGCTAGCTTGGAATGTGCCGAATTGAAGGACGTACGTCAGCAGCTGCTACAGTGGTCTCTACAAGCGCAAGAGCTGCATCCCGAACGGTATATTGATCCGTTAGTTTGTACGACAGAGGGTAAACGCGTATGTTTAACGCGTCTCTTGGAACCGGTGCCACTGCCGCTGGAGATGAACGAACCGAAGTTCGAGTTGGCTTGCCGTTTCGTCGCACTCTTGAATATATTGAAGAGCTACGATCCATGCATCTGCTTCGATGGCATTTGGCTAAATAACCAATGTGTGTTGGATACCAATTGGTGCACGTTGAAGGATCTTGGCGTGTTGTTATGTAATTTTTTGCTCGGCATTGGTGTTAGCTGCTGGCTTGTGCTCGGTCATGCCACAACGTATGGCGAGTGTGCCTTTGTTTTATATAAAAATGAAGAAGGTGAACTCGTGCTCATCGATCCTCAGACGGGTAAACGTTTTGGCACACGCGATGTCTTCTGTCCGCTCTATAAGATATGCATGGTGGTGGCGCAGGATAATGTGAGTGTCATCTAATCAAAGAGTTGTGCTAAAATTTCTATAAATATCGTTACAGTTATACGCCAACATTCAATCTGAGGCGCGAGTCACAATGACTAATTTCAATTTGAGCGAGACATCCTGTTGGCTACCTGCGTTCTTGAAACGCAATCCCGCCCCTTTGGGCGGTGTGCAAAAATTGAATTACGCCTACCAGCTCACGTTCAATACATTTGAGTTGAGGCGCAACATTGAGCGAAAAATAATGAAGAAAATCAATACGTGGCGCGCTATGCGTAAAACCATTTGGAATCGGTAATTGGAAAGCAAATTAATTTGAACAATTTAAATGTTTGACATTGAAACAATTTCTTATTAGCGCCTTTCAGCCACGCCTGCAAAGCATTCTTCAGGACTTGGAACAACTAAGTATGTCCGATAATGGCTCGTATACCGAAGCCAAGTACACCGACCAAGTAGCGGCTGAATTTCCAAACTATAAGGTAAATGAATAGCATGGCATGTTTAAGGACAGCGTTATGGGTTTCAGATTAAATTGGGTTATCTTGGTGGTCCAACAAACATTTATAGCTTAAGTTAGGTTAGGTTTTGGTCCTTAGCGTTACCAGCTGGAGTGCCGTGACGTAGTTCATGTGGAGTAGTCATGTTTTAGGCGAAATTCAGTAGGTTCTGTGGCCTCACTAACGATACCTCTTTCAGTGTCTAATACACCACCACAGACTTCTGCTGTAACCCGGTAACCATTCCATATCGTTTTGAGCTTCCTTGGCATGCCCTTGTCCAGATCTTAGTATAGACAATACATGAATTTACCAATGTCGGTCACGTTTTCAAATGACAGCCATACGCCGCTCTTGGCAATCGCATTCAATATTTCATTGCCATTGATGCCTTTGTGACCTGGCAGCCAGTAGAAGTGCAGTCGCTTGTTCCTGGCGACACTTTTCACTGCTCGCTGCTGCCAATACCAAATAAAAAATATATAGAATCAGAGATGGTCATAAATGAATATCTTTATGACTGCATATTGGAGTCTTTCACTTCCTACCTGTATTTGGAGACCGGAAATTTTTAAAACTCGTCAAAATTTCCGTCTTCCAAACGAGCTTAAACTGAAAGTCGAGTTTTTAAGTATTTCTATAAACTTTTTTGAAGAGAAAACGTATTTTTGAACAATACTTGTGACACTTCGATAAAGTTTTATTTGATCCCAGGTTATTCTACTTTACAACAATTATATTTTGAGTAATATTTCATTATGCTTCTTCTAGAAAACTTTTATTCATATTTTCAGATCTATGGTTATGCCCTCAACTTTCCTTACACGAACCTCACATCGATTTCTGAACGCATCAAGTCCACTGGCATACATTTAAATTCGGATAAACGTGTTGAGTTTTGCTTAGCGACGCATATTCACATCTATCCAAATGATGTGCTCTCTGTATGGATATTCCTGATATCATTGATACCCAATCGGTTTAATTAAAAGGTGAAAGAGCTTTATTGAAATATTCATAATGTATGTAAATATTATCTATGTAAAATATTTGTTAAAACAAACTATATTAATAACTATAAAAAGCAATTTTAAGCTCACAATTGTTGTTGAATTATCATACATCAGAATTGAGCTCGCTAAAATCGTTTGTATCGTCCATTATCTATGAAAAAAAAAATGATATTATATTGCAGCCGATAAGGTCTTCGCCATAAAAATGATTCAGGGAACACCTAACGCTAACATAAATTAGATTGGTGTACATACAAACATAACAGTATTCGTATGTAGGGCAAACGTATGAGCATATTCTTATATAAAAATCGGTACATATGTATATATATACATATTATGTGTACATATGTACGTTATGACATAAACTATATGATCCACCTTGATCTATCGATAACACCGCTGACTTGGTTTAGCTTTTATTTCCTTATATTAAACAAACGATGCGCACCAGAAGCCAGTAAACAAGGTACATGTGCACGTGCAGGAAAAATTTTGATAAGTTCAGGAGTTGTTTTCCGCAATGTATTGTAGTTAATAAATAATTCACAGTTGGCTTCTGAAAGTGTGCGTTTGAACAACCCACTAAATTAACGCTTTGTTAAAAATTTCTAAGCATTTGACGGGAGTTGCTAACTAAGAGATGTGAGGCAGAAAATACAAATTCCACAACTTTCTACCTATAATACAATTTAAGCGAAAACGATATTGAAAATCGTTGATTTACTGTGCTTCAGTGGCGTGATTGCAAAGAACTTCGCTGTTAAAAAACATTTTGTAATGCTTTTAAAAACACAAAATATTTTTCAAAAAACATTTAATTATATCAAATGGCTTTTAATGCTCTACGAACTGAATACGCAAATTTCGATTTGTGAGCCCTGGGAGCGTGTGTTTTTGCGTAAGTTGAATATGGCTCAGAAAAAAATTTATATGTATCTTTATAAAGATAAAAATAAAAATAAAAATATATTTAAAAAATTTCGTGAAATGACTTGGGTTTTAGCATTAATCGGTGAGATTAATTTTAGCAATTAATTTTTATGTTCACTAAATGAGAACCATTTTTTGTAGCACTAATAAATTGTTTGCACCTGAAAATTATTATATTTATTGCGTCCCATAATCTAGTAGAAACCTTTATATATGCATATATTTATATTACACATTCTGCTGATTAATCAACTTTTTGTTTCATACAAAACTTCACATTATTTTAATAGCACTCTGCAAATATCGGAGATTATCCGCAGACAACTAATAAACATTAAGAGACCATAAAAAAAAATTTTAATAATATTAAGTAAGCGTATTTTTTGCATATTTACACAGTAAGTTTTTTAAAAATTTAATAAAGTTCGAAATGTTTTTAGTTGCATCCAAATAGCGTTTGAAGTCATTACTGGTAAACAAATTTTCTACTAATGTGATATATGTCCATTTTTATTCTATTAACACTAATTTTGGGCGCAATAATTATAAACTTATTTTTAAAGAAACACCACAATATTCTGAAATTTAAGCAATACTGAACTTATATATATAATAAATTATTTTATATTTTTAGATATTTTACTACTGCTTAGTGCCGCAATTGTCATATATACCGTTAGTTATACACTCAACATATTAAAACTACTATTAGCCGTTGTTGCCATATAAACTGGCTGCAAGATTCAACAACAAACAGCTTACAAACGGAAAAAGTAATTAATTACGAATATAAATTAGAATTTTATGTCGCAATAGATTCTGATTTGGTGTTAAAACGCATTGTCAGCTTACAGTTTTTAATTCCCAGTGCGGGTAGCTGCTATTTTTCAATTGTGCTCTACAAATATGAACTACACCTACACCTACAACCGGAAGTTTATTATTTTTTCAGTTTCTTGGCCTGTAAATTAAAAGTGCATTAACATTTGCATGAAGGCTTAACCGTATTCACGTTTCCTTTATTTAAGTATTATTTTTTGTTTAAAATTAAGATTTAGCGAACCTAAATAAATTGAACACCAAACAATTTCGTTGAAAAAACAAATTGTAATTTTTCAAAATGTCTGCTTTAGAGCTGCCATAACAGATTTTATGACAAAGTATTTCTGCAAATACATATATCTGTTGTCGTTAAGTTATACACGATGGCGAAATATTACACTGGGGTTAGTAATAATTCTTTTAATAACAAATTACACATGTTTTTTTAATTTGCTTTACAATTTACATTTTAAAATAAATATAGTTAATAACAGGTAACAATACTAATTCGATACGGATGGCAATATAACATAACCGTTTCGAGACTCGTTGAAATATGACAATTTACTGACAGTTAAAACATCACACAGTTTTTGTTTACGTTTGTGCTTGTTTTATTGGTGATATTCTCAATGAGCTTAAAGTGAAATTGTAAATAAATTCGAACATGTCTAACGATAAACGTACTATTTACGTCGGAGCATTAGCAGATGAAGTGACGGAGAAGCTACTTAATGATGCTTTCATACCCTTTGGCGATATTGCCGATATACAAATGCCGGTCGACTATGAGTCGCAAAAGCATCGTGGATTCGCATTTATAGAATATGAAATGTCGGAGGATGCCGCTGCAGCGATAGATAATATGGTATATTGACAGAGAAAACCTTCAACATAACATAAATTATATTGATTTTAATTAATAGAATGACTCGGAACTTTGCGGTCGAACGATACGTGTAAATCTCGCTAAGCCAGTGCGCATTAAAGAGGGAAGCTTTAAGCCTGTTTGGGCTGACGATGATTGGTTGCAGAAACATGCCGGCGCTACACTGAAAGAAGAAGAAACTGAGAACACAGTTGGCACTAATGTCGAGAGTGCCGATACAACTGCTAGCAAGCCTAGTGGACCCGTGGTTATTGAGAAAGCAGAGAAACGTAATCCTCAAGTTTTCTTCGACATACGAATAGGTGGCCATGATGTGGGTCGCATTATAATGCTACTGCGCGCCGACGTAGTGCCGAAAACAGCGGAAAATTTTCGTGCGCTCTGCACGCATGAGCAAGGCTTCGGCTATAAAGGTAGTATTTTTCATCGCGTCATACCAGAATTCGTAAGTAAACCAAATGTAACAAAAATACACAAATTTTCATAGATAAATTTAACTGTAGATGTGCCAAGGTGGTGATTTTACTAATAACAATGGCACTGGAGGAAAATCTATATATGGCAAGAAGTTTGCAGATGAAAATTTCACTCTCAAACACAATGGATTTGGAACGCTATCAATGGCTAACTCAGGACCCAATACAAACGGCTCACAATTTTTTATATGTACCACTAAGTGAGTTATTTTTTTTACACCAAATTACTTTTACTTAAGAATAGTAATCAAATTATATACGTAATATTTCTAGAACGGATTGGCTAGACAACAAACACGTGGTTTTCGGACATGTAATTAGCGGAGCAGATGTAGTACGAAAAATGGAACGATGTGGAAGTAAAGCTGGTACCACAACACAAAAAATTGTAATATATTCATGTGGAGAATTGAAATAAACACGAATACTTTAGTTTAAAAATATTTTCTTTTTATTTAGTTTATTTAAATATACTAGTATACACATTTTTGAAGGCTGCAAATCCAAAGAGAATACAAAATCACCTGCAATAAAAAAGATAAATATATTAAAAATTTTGAATATTCATATGCACAGAATATTGTTTTTAATGAATCAGTTAAAAAGTGAACAGCATGGTTTTAATTGGGTTCGACTCAGAAGAGGGATCCTGAGTGAGGATAAATCATCATTTAAAATATTCAAAATTCATTTATAGAAAGAAATTAAGCTCACCTTTACTTCGGGTACACTTCCAATCCTTTCCAATGATTATAAGCGCATTTTAACTGAAATGAAAAACTTTGTTAATAAAGAAGATTATGTTATTTCGTTTATAATATGAAAAAATTAAATCAGTTTAAAAGCGAACAGCATGATTTTAAATTGGGTTCGACTCAGAAGAGGGATCCTGAGTGAGGATAAATCATCAAATGAAAGAAAATACACAAAGAGTAAAGCTATACACACCTTTTCATGTGCCTTCAATATTTCAATGTAAAATATATTATTCACAACCTTCAGCAAACCTATAACAAATAAAAATAGCTAGCATTAGTTTTGAAAGTTATTAATGAACCAAATAGAATACATAATGTTTTCAGTCAAAAAAATTTGTTACATGTATTTTTCAAATGAACTATACTATATATGAGTCATCATATAAATATAAATATTTTCCAATTTATATATGTACATACTGACCTTTTGTATATGCAGTTTCCCACTTTTTTCATTTATTTTCATATTAAACTGCATCTGCAATCTGAAATTGAAGAACATTAATATTATAATAACTACAGCTTAATATTTGGTACAAAATTAAAATGACTTTGGGAGTATTTTCAGAATCCTTTTGGTTTATTTTAAAGTTGTAAATCAGCAATTGTTTATTTATGATTAAACTTATCATCATTTGAATATAGATGTGCGATATCATATGTTAAATGCAATTATTAAAATTTTATCTTTAATATTTACCTTTTTTTTAAATATTTTGGTCTTCTTATCCAGTATAACCAGGCTTTGTCGCTCAGCTGTTTGTAAAATTAAAACAAAGATTACTCAGTTCCAACTGCACATTTTATAAGCCGCTGCATCAATTTTCCATCTATAAAAGATATAAAATATCTTCATTAATAAGGAAAGAAAACTTAAGATTTCATATGAAGTTTGATATTTTGATCAGAATCCTTTTGGTTTAATTTTAAGTTGTAAATCAGCAATTATTTACTTATGATTAAACTTATCATCATTAAGTGTACGTATATTTAATATCTTAAATACAATTGTTCTAATATTTCTGCAATATTTACCTTTATTAAGACATCTAAAGTCATTTTGTTCAACAAAACCCATTTATCCGTCACGAGGCTGGCTGTAAAATTAAAACAGAGAAAAAATATTTGAAACAAATTCATTGCGTCGGTAAAACTAATTGATAAATAAAAATAACTCAGCTGGCCGTTCTTATCTATCCGCAAAAATGCAAGTGCTTACAAATAAATCGTAAAATTTAAAAGTAAAACACTTTTTCAGGACGAGAACAATCATCAAACAATCAGCATGTTGTGACAAAGCGCAAAATAAAACTTACGTGTGCTAATTTTATCAGCTATTTTCAACGCCATCCTTCAAATAATGTTCAACTTGTACAAATTATAGTTGCTACATATTTATGCCTATACGATTTTAGTAATATTTTACTAAAAATCGTCATTCCGATTAGGTATTTTTACAATTCTTTCAAAACGTTGATTAGTGAAGTTAATTCTTCCAAGTCCAAAATTAAAATGAACGAATTCCAAAAGAACAGAACGAATGTGACAATGGCGGCTACGTAGTTGCCACTTGGCTAAAAGGTAAACAGATGTTGAGTAGTCTCCAAATTGTTGCTGAGCCAGCAATTAAATATCGTATATACTTGTATGTATATTTATTAAAAATTGTGTGAATTTAAATGACAATATTTAGAATTTCAATAAATAAAATCAAGCAATTACTGTATTTAATAAAAAATATTATTTAACTATATGAACGATGTACGATTATCGTACAATCGTATCTGACTTAAAAACAATTTTTCAATTCAATGACTTTATTTTCAAACTGTCGAAATTAAAATTATACTCATAACATTAACAATATCAAAAATTAGTCAAAATATGTTTTTTTTTTATAAATTTTATGAAAACGCCTTTTAATCGTGAAATTTAAGTGCATTTTTGTCCAAATACACTAAAACCGGAACAAAAGAAGATAAACGCGCGAGAGAGATGGCAAAACGAAAGTCGAAAAGAAAATCTACCGGAAAAGGAAATAAAGCAGCAAAAGTTGAAAAAGAATACGACATTTTAACAATGGAGGAACAACAAGCGCGCGATGCGAAATATGCAATGCGTTTGGCAGATTTGCGAACGTGCCTTTCCTTTATTGATGGTAAGTGGGATGGGTTACAAGTAATGGGATATGAGAAATAAATACAGTTAAGCTAGCTTTGTGCTTTATTGACATGGAGTAGCGATTTCGCAAATTCCAATCAAACTGATTTTTATAATAGCACAAGAAAATGAAATTGCATTTTTCTTCATTGAACAGAGGCGTTTCACAAAGTGGAAGAGTTAAAGCGCGGAGAGGATGTCATAGAGAAAGTTTGTATGGAAATTAATTATATTTGCATATATACTCAGCAACTCCTTGTTTTTAGTGGAAAAATTATTTGCTTTGCGATGGTCTTCCCAAGCCATTTTTACCACCAGCTGTGCGTTTGTTCTTTGAGAAATTGCAGCATTTCGATCGTTTGAATACGGAGAAAACAATTGATTGGCTCTTGTCGGTTGATGAGCGCAGCGTTTTGTCACAGGATATATATAGCAAGGATATGACGCGCAGGGCATTGGTCAAAGAAATGCGTCCTAATTTCGCAGATGAGTACAAAACTAACATAGATTTACTATTAAAAGTAATTTGTATATATTATATAAGTTGAAAAATTTCAAACAAAATTAATTATTATTGATGACAGGTTGTTAAAAGCATTGATTATTATGGAGATGATGATGCGAAAACAGCGAAAGCGCCTCTACGAGTTTTGCGCGATATATTAAAGGTATGTTATAATTTTGAAGCACAAAAAATGAAAAAAAATATATAGCTAAACAAAAGTATTATTAATTCTGTAGCAAAAAAGTGCGGCATATCAAGAAATCGAGCACTATTTCGATCATTATGCATATCGTATATTATCATCCGAAGATTCCTATATGGAGTAAGATTGTTACTTTTATATGAAATTTAAAATGAATTTTAGCTAATGAGAGCCAATCTCATCGCACAGTTCTGTAAATGCCACCACAGCTGAATATTTTTATGAATGCGACAATTTTGGTATACACATTTGGACGTTAAAAAATGTGCCTATACTCTTTCAATTTCTGGAGTGAGTATAATCAATTATTATACCATGAATCGGTTATATAAAGTTTGCACGCCGTTTGTAACACCCAGAAGGGGTCGCAGACTCTATAAAGTATATTTGTATGTGTACTCGTTTGGAATCAAATGCTTGTATGGAAAACTTTTTTATTTGACAAAATATCTTTACGAAATTTGGCATAAATTACTGTGCAATTCGACGCTATAATCTCCGAACATATTGTTCAGATCGAACCGCTATTGCATATAGTTGCTATACAAACTGACCGAACAAAATCAAGTTTAAGATATTTTTATACCATTTATGCTATAAGAGGCACATGCGAAGAGTATTATAGCCGTGCGGTTGAAGTTAACGTTTTTTTTTTTGTTTAATTTTAGGTTTGTGGCTGTATTGTTTTTAATTTTTTTTTTAATCTCTATTCTTTCTTATACAAAAAGCTTACCATGTGTTGAGGCAAATTTACATAAACTTCAAGTTAAAATTGTTTTGCCGTATGCTATTCTAAAAGAAAATCTTACCATAAGAGCCATACACTTCTTATTCGATCCATTCAGTGAAAACGCTAAGAGCTTTAAGCAAGACATTACAGACGTTGTGGAAGACTTGACGGCTGGCATACCGGGTAAGCTACCTACATATATAAAATGAAACCAATGTGAAGTAAAATAATTTAATAATTTCTACTCTAATATTAAATAACTAAAGTTTGAATAATTTTTTAAAGATTTACACGAATGTTTGGTGCATGAACATTTTCTACAAGTGGACTTGCAAAATCAAGTGCGTATGAAATTGATGGAGCGACGCGCCGATTATGAGAACAAAGTGCAGTAAGTGCATTTGTATGCAAAAGTGATATTCTTATATTTTAACTGTTTACAGGTATTTGAATATCTTTTTTATTAACAATAAATATTTTTTAAATAATTGTTAAATTAGATTTTAGCATTTTAATGAACAAGTAAAATAAGAATATAATATTTAGCCAACTTTTTGCAATTCGTAAGATTTTATCTAATAAACTAACTTATAAAAAGCATTTCCTTAAAATCGCATATTTTTTAACACTAGCACGCTGAATGAACAGCTGGAAAGTTTAAAGAAAGCCAAGTCCGCTGATGATGACAAAAAGAAAGAGCCAAAACTTATTAAACTGCCAAAGGAACCGCCTGTCATAACCGAAAATACGTTTCCGGATGTCTGGGATGACTTTTTACAATTGGAAAATGAGCGTTACAATAATTTCATAAATAATATTTATAATCCAGAATCATTGCAATTGGAAGCAGATGAGGTCATATATATAAATTATAATAATATTATAATACATACATTTTACGTTCTCATTTGTAGATCAATTTAAAGAAATATACAATACTCGGTGGCATATATCAGTTGCATTTTGTTAAGAAACCTATACATTATAATTTCAATGATTTCACTATGACATGGCATGAGAATAACGGTGAATTGCTAATTATTAAAGACGTCATTGCTGAGGAAGTTTTACCGCCAGTTGCTTCACGTGTCTCTCTACACTCTAGTTCATCAGCTTTACGTACGTCGGCAATATCTAGGCGTAGCGTATCACGTCTAACGGCGGCTGAGTTGAATCAACTCTTTATGGCACCGCCACAAAACTGTGATAGTCCGAATTTTGTTGTAACGATTGAATTACCCGAATATTTATGTTTATGGGGTGAGCCATTGGCCTGCCATTACGAAGACAATTTAATAGGCTACGCAACGGAGAAATTGTCCAATTCAAATATACACAGTCCAATGCCATCTGTACCTACTGATGAACAGAATAAGGTGTTGTCTAAAGATCATGGTAGCACCACATTTACTTACCCTTCTATGGACCTTTCATATACGCCACGACAATCGACATCGAATCTTTCTATGCGCACGAAACGCTCAATTTCGAACATATTTCGTCCATCAATAGCGTCGTTGGTCACTTTTATAGCGCAACAACAGCCGATGCATCAAGCAATTACTTTTCCAACCATTGAGGATTTTGTTTTGGATTTGCCTTTGAGTCTTGTACAAATACGGAATATACAACGTTATTGCTTACCACGTATTATATCGTCCTTCAAGTTCCCTGTAGAATTGCAGGATGAAGCTAAAGAAGAGCAACGTGGCAAACCGAAAAAAGGCGGTATTCTGCTGCGAAAGCGTCCCTCCGAAGACAGTGATCCGTTGGAAGCAGTTAAGGAATTTCAATATGATGGTCAAAATAATCCTGAGCGCATTTTCCCTAACTTACCACGCCTAGAAAAGATGCACATGGATTTTGTTATACATGAAAAGGACAGGGATGCTTTGACAGTTACAGGTACAAAGCATCCAGTAAGTTTCTCCAATTTAGTGCAAACACTGGACAAAATCAGGACGTCTTATCAGAACAACTATAAACGTACACTTCAAGTTGCCGATCGGAAAATAAACATGATTTTATTTAAGGATCATAAGAAAAAAATGAAATATATCAAGTCAGAAGATTCATTTTCCAAGACACCAGTTTCATCACAATCCACGGCAAGCTTTCAAATGGCAAAGCATAAATTGCTTAAGCGTAAGACACGAACAAGCGATCTGGATATACTAAAGGGTAAAGAACAAAAGGAGCGTGCACGGTCGGAAATTATCGTGAAATCGGAAATTGAGAAGGAGACCGAAAAAGATATAGAGAAAGAAGACGAGAAGGAAGAAAGAGAAGAGGAAGAACTATCGAAAGAGGCAGAGGAAATGTCAGAACCTGAAAAGGAAGTTAAACAAAAAACATTTGAATATTCACACTGGACAACTAAATACATCAATAAAACACAGTATGAAAAAGAAAGTCATAAAATCACCATTTGGACTGATAGATTGGGTGTGTATATAAATAAATAAAAAAAAGAAGAAACTCGTGCAACAACATTGCTATTTTTTTTTTGTTTTTTGATTTTAAGGTACAATTGGTTTGGCATACAAGTTATACGAGCACTTTCCCTTTAAAGATTGGAGAGTTGAACCAGACATGGAAAAGTAAACTCACTGGAAATTAAACATCATTATTTTGATAGTCAGCATTTTTTTTGTATATATTCAACAGTGAAGGCGAAGTAGTTTTTACACTGGAGACCCAATATGTTAAATGCGTGATTAATATTTCAGCTGCTGGCTATCGCGGTTATGTAACAGAGCCGACAAAAGGATATGTTCGGCATCGTAAAATCTATATGGATATTAAAGAACCGATAACCGATTTTAAGGAGTTAAAGAAGGTAACTGTCTACGATTATTTCTTATACAATAAAACCATATAAATTGCTTACGCCTTTTTTATAGCGTTTCCATGACCGTTTCTTGAATATATTTTCCAATCATGACGCTCGGTTTTATATAGAAAATGGTAATGTTACGAATATATGTATGTATATACATACTATTTTGTTGTTAAACATGTTGTTTTTACTTCGTTATACAGGTTACTTTTCTGAAAAGCATTTAGCTTGTGAATTACACACCTACTCTTGCATAGCGTTACATTGTTTGATGTTGAAATTTTCACGCTCTGATTGGAATCGTTTGGCAAACCGTCGTGATATTGTATTAAACTTCGGACATTGTCGTGATCCACAAGAAAATATGATGCAAGTGCATATAACTCCGGAGAATGCCACCTTTGTGGATATAAAGGAGTTGTGTTCGGATAATTTAGATGTATTTTTATTGGACTACACATTGACTTGGCGCAATATAGATGTAAGTATTAAGTTTTCTTATAGCCAAAATGGCGAAAAAATTAATTATAAATGATATAAGAATAACATGGGGTGCTATTGTCTGAAACATTTGCGATTATGGTGTTATATAATCACATACTGTCACATACAGATTTTTATTTTTATATCCGGTCAAGAACTGTCAACTCACAAAAACTTCCCAAATTATTTGAAAACTTTTCTGCTACAACAACAACACAAATTACCTTTTTTCAGTATTTAATTAATTGATTTCAAATTCTTTTAGAGTTATTGTGACTTCCATCACCTTATTATGTCTGCATTTCTTTCTGCTATCGACAATCGCTGCAAAGATCCGAAACTTCTGGTAAATGTTAAAAATTTACTTTACGAAATACGTCCGTTAAGCTACTCATAAATTAATTGCCAGAAATAAATCGAAAATATAAATTTTCATATATTTTAATTTTTTATTATCTTAATATATTTTGAATATGTCTCGAAGTATACAGTAAATCAGATTATATGTATCTTTGATTTTACATAATGCACATAATTTGGTTGAAAGCGCACTGCAAATTTAAGTTGATCGAGAACAGAACCACAATTCCTCTCATTTACAACAAATGTTATGTTATTTTGCACTATTAAATGCTTAACTTTACGAATTGCAAATGGAAGTAAATCGAAAAAATTGATTCTCCAATCTAATTGTGGAATGAGTTTTGGTTTTGCCTGCATACTTTTACAAGCAGCAGCAAAAAATAATAAATGACAATCAGCAAATGTTATGGAAATTGAATTTAAACGTAGAAAATTAACTTATTTACTAAACTTAAGAGCAAAAGTGTACATTGGAAATTAGTTGCAAACATATAAAGGTGTGTACAAAGCAGCAACCGGCCACTTGGGAAGCACTCGTTTTATGGCCGCTATTAATCTCTTACTGTCTTACACTTAATGTCCAAAGATATTGCTAAAGGTGTACGCTTGCCATTTGTGCTCGTATGTTCATTGTTGCCGTTATACACACCCTACTTTTGCTACATAGCTTCTTCTGATTCCTTAAGAACGGTTGTATTTACCCCAAATATGCAGCATGAATACGGAGGCAATAAAAAGCAGAGACATCACCAACACGGGCACTGGTCCACTGCAATATAATGAATGAATGTTATATTAATATAAAAATTTATTTCTATTTGTAATTTTTGATGTTTTAGCATGAAAGGAATTTTATATTGCACTGTACTTCTTTTGTATTGAAATAAAGCTTGGTGAATCTGATATTAGAATAAATTGCAAAAAAAAAAAACACTTATTCATAAATACTATAAATATTTGAAACCTAACTATTTATATATGACTTTTTAAACTACAACTTTTATTTATACTTAAAGAAAAGAGAAAGTACAAATCAACACAGTGGGCAATATTGCTCTGCTGACACCAATTATGCTGAGCATAAAATGCCATGTTGGCACGTAAACACTTACACTTTAATGCCGGGCGAGTCATCGGTGTAGAAGCGCCACATACCACCAGTGCCAGCACCAGTGGTGCGACTTCTGGCCGCTGTGGTGCTACTTGTGGTCTTTCGCTGCTTCAGGTTGCTACCACCAGCACCACCACTGCGTGGCGCTGTCATCTTAGTTGGCGAACGTGAACCACTGCCCACGGATGTTGAACTGGCTGGTGCAGGCTGCAATTAAGCCAAATAATATTGATAATTCTATTCTCTTTATCATTCTCATTAATACTTTACCATTTTGTTAATTAGCTATTGGCAGTTTTATATAAAAACACGTATTTGCAACTGGCCAAAGGAAATCACTACGAATCAATTGACTGCTTCCTAAAAAATAATGACTTCGCCGTAAGCAGTTAAGTATGACAGTTCGTTATAGTCGTTTTCTCGATTTCGTTGTTTTTTCCAATTCGGCAATATATTCGTTTCCACGTAGACGACGAAAGTTAGCTGCTATGACAGGTAGTTGTCAAAAGGAAAACGTCATCATATTCTTTGCTGTATAAAACGCCAGATGTCGCTTGAATACCATTTCGTTTTATAATTTCTATGTATACGCGTCTGTTAGAAGCGGAAATTTGAATGAAATTCTAAGTTTTTTGACTTGTGCTTAAATAAGTGTTGTGTAATCTCTTTATTTCTCGTTTTATGCAGTGTACACATACAAGTATTTCAGTTAGTGACTGAAATATTTTATTTTTATTTGTGAAAAAAATGGTTCTTCCGCCGGAAATACAATGCAATGGAGTAAATGAAAAATGCGCAATGGGTAAGTTTGGCAAATTCAAATAAATACTAATGTTTTAGAAATAATAATTTAATGAAATAATGAAGTAATGTGGATATAGTTTCCTATATATTTGTATATTCAACCGTTCCGTCGAGATAAATCATAACAAACAGCGTATGCTGCATTAACTGCTTGCGGTAATTTTATATAATAGTTGCCACGAAGTTTGTAACACCTAGTAGGAAACGTCGGAAGTTCTATGAAGTATATACATATATAAATGATCAGCGTGACGTGCTGAGTCGATTTAATCATGTCTGTCTGTATATACACGATCGATTTGATTACATGTCCCTTTTCCTTCAATTCATGCTCATTTGTCGGAATTGCCGATATCAGACCACTATAGCATACAGCTAATAAGCAAGCTTACCGATCAAAACTAAGTTCTTATGTGGAAAACTTTATTTGGCAACATATTTTCTAGAAATTTCGCTAAAATTATTGCCTAAGTCAGTGTTACAATCCCCCAAGAAATTTTACAGATCGCACCATTATAGCATATAGCTGTCACATAAATTGAACGATGAAAATCAAGTACTTATGTGGAAAACTTTTTTATTTGATCACGAAATTTGGCGTAGATTATTGTATAAGCCAACACTACAATCTCCAAATCGAAACACTGTAGCCTATAGCCGCCATACAACCTGACTTTTATGCTTAAGAAATACACCGGAGAAGGGTATTATAGCTTCGGTGCAGCCGAAGTTAACGTGTTTCTTGTTTTAACTTTTATTAAACCATCGTGACTATAGTCATATTGCCCATCTTTCGGTGTTTATTCAAATAGTTTTTTATTTTTGTCAAAGTAAAGTTTATTTCGTGCATAGAATATATAATGGTATATATATATATATAAGCTACGTTACATAAGTGTTTTAAATATATGGACTTGTATATTTTTTAAACAATAATATTCCACATTATTGCACCTCTTCACTTCTTATATTTGCCTTTAATTGAAAACACTAAATTAAAGAATGATCATTAGAATAATAATATAATATTATAGCGGGTGTATGAATAGGTAGAGTCTAGTGGTGAGTTACGAAAATTCATTAACTATTCCGGAATATCATGTCCTTGTGTTTAAGTGTATGTTATGCGACTACAAGCTTGCGTTTAAAAGTATCACGTAACCTTTGCTCAGTACATATTTGTAGTTACTTGTGATACTGTTGCAATTGGTATTTGTTTATTTGAAAATTTTGCATATATTTAATAGTAATAACTGGCTAGACTGTGCGCAACACGCATTTTACAATTGCTACAATTTCTTTATATATTTAAGTAGTTAAAACTAGCGTAGCAAGACATGATATCCAGCGTTAGTGAAGCAATAGACAAATGAAAATTAACTAATAAATTAGATTGGCAAAAATATTTTTGCTGTGTGAATACAAATTGTAACATTCTAATGCTCGTGTATATAGTGTTAAATAATCTCTAAAGATTGACATTTGTTTTCCAAGTACTTTGCATATAGTATATATATAGTACATAATATTTTCATTAGAGTTAACTTGTTTATATGTGTGGAATAATTTTTTTTTAAGTTAAGAATAAATGTCGTCAAACTACCAGTAAACTATTAACCCCGTATATTTTTATATACTTAATTTTTCATGCTTTAATTTTGTTGTTTCATCTAAGTGCATTATGAAGAATTTTTGCTTATATAATTGTTTTTTTTTTGGATTTTTTTTGTTCTACTTTAACTTTTTATAAGTGTGAAATGAGAAATAATTAAGTTGCAGAGAAAATATTTAAGTTTATGCCAAGCTGACACTCGAACGAGCTCCTGCTGTTGACGTTGTTATTGCAGTCGTGCCAATTATGTTCGGTGATTTGTTTTCATCCACACCTTTTAGGTTAGCATCGACTTTTTTATCCTTTAATTGTCAATTTTCAGCTGACATAACGCCAATATCCTCATTAATGCTCAACAACTGTTGTATGAAATCTTGATCGTTTATGACATCGGCTAAGGATTTACAGAGTTCGGTGAGCTCCTTCTCTTTCATATTTAACTGCGGTGCCAGTTTGCTGAAATGCTGCTGCACATTATCGGGAATCTATATTATATAAAAAAAATTGCATACATGTGTGAATTATTTATTTAAATAAAACATTAGCACAACGGTTATACCTTTCCTGGATTCTTGAAAACATTGAACATGAATTTCACTTTTATGCGCTGATCATTTGGTCCATCATAGAATAGTGTGAAATGTGACTCGTTGCTGTTTGGCACGACCGGTAGATAAATACCCGCGAACACACGTCCTTTGGCGTCACGCGATAATAACGAGCGGAAATTATACACCAGATTACGACGTACTGTCACATCGATCGCCGTCACATAGGGCTGTTCAACGTAGATGAGTGATGATTTGAATGATTGCTCATCGCCACGTGTTTCACGTTCCATCCATTCAACGAACTTCTTGTTTTGCAGACAATAATTGTAGCAGTAGTCACGTTGCAGACGTGGTTCTTTCGACTGTGTGAACCAACCTAAGTAGAGTTGAAATATAAGATTTGTTAAAAAAATATGCGACTATTTACTTCAATCGCTTTGGACATACCTGTATGTGGGTACATTTGGTCGGACATTACGGTAACAGCACGTCCAATATGATAACCCGGATCCAATATCATAACACCTTCACGTCCGGCTATTGAAATCTTCATAGCAACCATAGCGTGTTCTTTTTCTACGTTGGCATGCGGCGAGTTCAAACCACCCACTTCATCGGTACTTTCAATGTAGTCACTTTGCGACATGACCTGTTCCTCGCACGAAACTAAATACAAATAATGTTGTAGCACTGGAAAGATCTCAATGATGCGTGTCATTATTTCCATTGCCAATGAGACACACATGTGATGGCGCCTGTTTATGGGCAAGTCGTAGAATTGGAAGAACGACTTAAGATCCGAGCGACGTGTACGCTTGAAGGCTCGATAAAAGTCCACAAATAAGTTAACCGTGTCGTAATGTGTCTCCTCGAGCATACGATGTAATTTCGTCTCAATAGTCGCATTTAGATCTTCATATTCCCAAACCGAATCAAAATGCAATACGCCTTTGGTGTATTCATCATCACAGCTGGCTGCCCAATCGGGCAACGGCAGCGGATGTCCCAGTGGCCAGATTCCATTGATTTGATTAAATGCAGTTAAATTGTAGCTATCCTCATCGGCCCACCACTCTTGTTGGCCGTGCATTTGGTGGCGCCACCATTTGCGGTGCTGCTCCTCAAGTAGTTTACGTATGGTCGAGCAGCGTTCCATTGATGCACTCGATGTCACATTATCCACTTTATCAAAGTTTCCAATCGTATCGGTGTCAAATACAATGGCACCGGCCACAACAGCTTCCATGTTGTTCTCAACATTTTTGATTTTGCTGTCAACTGTTGTTGTTGCGGCTGCTGCTGCTGCTGCTGCCACACCAACTGCATCGTAACCATTTGTAACGCGTCGTCCACCAGTGTCGTTGTCATCATCCACATGGCTTTCATCAACATCATGGTGGTTGTCCAGCGACCACGTCTTGTTGTCGTTGTCCACGTTGCATTGCTGCTGTTGGGCGACAACAATTCGTTGGCCGTTGTTATTTTGTGGTCTATCTTGAACAGGAACGGTGTTCGTAGTCAATCCAACTCGTACCGAACCCGCCGATGGACCGGCATCGGCGCCGGCGCCCACAACAACAGCTGCTTCAACAGCTGTTGTGCTTGCGGCGGCGGCGCCACATCGCACCAGGCTGGCTTCGGCGAGTCAACTTGGCCATTCGGCGCCCCAACGGCCAACCGTTGGCACGTAGCCACTTTCGCAATCATTTAATGAGGTTTCTAGATTAATTTTGGCTGTTGCGTTATTTGTTAATGGAATAGCGGTAGCTGTAGCGGCAGCGGTTGCTGGAGCGGCGGCGGAGGCGGCTGCAGCACCGTTACACTTAGAAAATAGACTATTCCGGCCCTGCGCGCTTTTGAACAGGAGGTCCGGCTCGTCTCCAAAATACGATGGTTGTTTAGAAAGCTCTGTGTGGGAACAAAAAGTACAAAATGCAGATGTTATTGGTAAGAAAGAAATATATATATTTTTAGGCAACAATAACTAGTAACCGGAATGTGGTTTGAGTGCTTGAACTATTTGGTATAAATTTAAATAAAACGGTAAAAATGAGTTGCTCTTAAAAACAAGTCACAAGAATCTAGTTTATACATATTTTATGTTGTAACTTTTAAGGTTAACTTAACGTAGAGCTGGAACATCTCGAAATGAGCTGACCATGTCTAGCGCTTAATCGAACTTTTTAAGCGCCTTAGACAAGCCTATGTCATATTTTAGCGGTGTTTAGATTTATTTTACTTCGAGATGACTGTATTTTGCAGCCTAAAACAGTTGCTCATGTGATCAGGCTTTATTGTTAACCTCTTACAAGCATAAGTGTTTGTTCATAGCACTCAATAAAAAAATTTACTAAACATACATGTATGTATTTTAGTAGTAGTTTAAGTGTAAAATAATAAATAACAATGGCGGCATGACACTCAGATGCAACTTGAAGAGCATGAAATTCCTAAAAAAACACTCAAGAGTTATTTTATGAAATTGTGCATACTCTTATATCTTCCTTTATTTGCAGACAAAATTTCGTATCTGTCATTTTTCAATTCCATTTAGCTAACAATAGTGCCTTAATAGCTTTATTACTTCCGTAAAGTGACGCGTGAGAGTAGCGAAGAGAAATAATAATTCGTACCGTACCCTATACAATATATACATTTATATATTACATACTCGTACATCTGGGAAATTTCAATGACCTCAAATAGAAAAATTGACGCGCAACGCACTGAGATTTCTTAATGAAGATGCATGTTTGACTGGCTCGTTGCCATTCAATAATGCGAACAATGTTAGAGACATAGTACTATACAAAGTGGCATACTAACTGTTGTTGTTTTTGGAAATTGTTTGCACTAAAATGCTTTTGGTAAAAAGAGAATTATACATTTTAATCAATTCGATACAATTTTGAAAATATTAGCAAATAATTGCAGTGGCTATACGCTTTAATTGCTATTTTTAGTTAGAATTTTAAATTAATTCTAAATTTTAGTTAACTGCTTAGTGAGGTTAGAAATCTTTAGAAATTTTACGGTTAACTTAATCTTTTTTAAATATTTTTATAGCCTTTAAGTTTATCACGAAGTTTCTAACACCTAAAAGGAAACATCGGATATGCTATAAAGTGTAGATACACAGTAATGAGCAGTGTGGCGAGCTGAGTCGATTTAGACATGCATACTGTATATACGTAAACCATTGCCTCAGCTTTTGAGATATCGTTTTGAACTTTTGCACACGTCCTTTTCTCCTCAAGCAGCTGCTCGTTTATCGGAATCGTCGATAACGGACCACTGTACGATATAGCTGCCATACAATCTTTATATCCTTATATGGAAAACTTTTTTATTTGACAAGTTATTGTCACGAAATTTGGTATGAAATATTATTCAAGTCATATCAACTGATCGATCAAATTCCAATCCGTATATGTAAAACTTTTTTATTGGACAAGATATCTTCACGAAATTATACTGGAATAAAAAGTGCGTACCCACGCGCACAAAGTAAAATATGTTTTTAGAATTGTAATAAACAATTATTATGTTTTGATCGCACTAAAAAGTGATAGAAATAGAAATTTGATAATTGTTTTCAATTTACGCCAGCTCTAAAAGCGTAATAATGCTGCCCAACACATACATATGTATGTGTACATATTTACATATAATTTTAGCGCCACTAATAAACGCCATAAATACATACATACATACATACTTATGCATTTTCTATTTGTTTTTATTGAATTTCTCGCGAATGTGTTAAAAGGTTTGTGAATCACTCGCTAAATATTATTTTTGCAAGAAAAAAATTACTGTAATTAAATTAGAGAAAATACTCGCTGTTTTATGAGCGCTGGATAAGAAGAGAGAAAATTCAACTTACATAGTATGTATGGCTTTGTAGATTTATAAGTCAGCAATTAGTGTTCTTGCTTAGTAAATATACATACATATGTATGTGTTTGTGTGCATATATGTAAGTAAACTTTTGGACCTTGATTATTCTTAGTAAAAACCCCTACATATCACATAAACACATGATTACTTTATTAAGAATATATTTGTGCATGTGAACGCCGGATGGAGGTCACGTGAAATCGAAATTGGCAGTTTTTTCTTTTTCTAAACATTTGTGTCTAAGCAAACATTTTCTACAACATAATACGATCTGTCTCCACTCAAATGTCTTTATTTTGGTTTCTCTGGCTCGCATCGGTTTCGCTGTGACCATCGCGAGTGATTGAACAAATTGATTGACTAATGAAAATAATATACGCACACAGCCAAGCATATACATACATATATATACATACACGAAATAAGCGTAGGTGCAACTAAATAAAAGCTTTTTCATATGATACGCGGTCAGCGCGCCTGGTAAAGCATTTTCGTTGTGATAATATTTATAGTAATTGCAAATAGTTCTTGTTTTTGCATAGATGTTACAGTTACATTATATGTACGGTACATGCATAACATACGAGTACATATTGAGTATCCAAGCAAAATTACTATTTAACTGCTAGTAGAAATATTAGAGCAGCGAGAAAAAAAGCAATTTTATTGCAAACACATACAACATACATATGAGTTTGTGGTAACTATAAAAATAAAACTGCCTCGTAAATATCTTTATATGCGCAAGTAAGTACATACATATGTACACTGCTTGTATATCGTTTGCCACGTACTTTGGCGCTTATAACCAAAAAATATTATATATTTCTATTTTAAAATCTATTTTCACTATTTTGATGTTTCACTAAATGCGTTTGAAACTATAGATACTTTTTTTTTTTAAATTCATAAATTTACCACAAATTTAATTTTTTATATTCCTTCTATCCGTCAGATTTCCCAGTATATATATAGGGTATATTAGGTTTGCCACGCAGTTTGTTACAAACAGAAGGAACAGTCGGATACCATATAGAGTGTATATATAATATGTAAATATGTCATGTCTGTCTGTCTGTCTGTATATCGGTATTTTTCCGTGCTCAGTTTTTGAGATATCGGTCTAAAATTTTCGATATGCCGTTTTCTTCCCAAGAAGCTGCTGTCGGTCATTTAATTAAAATCAATTATGTATTTGTCAGAAATATATTGGCTGCAAAGGCATTTAATTGATCAAACAGTTTGTTTGAACATTTTCCGACAGTAAAATAATGAAGCAATGAGAATTTATAACGGTTTCGTATAACTACAAATATTTACTGAATAAATACCCATACGAGGTAGTAATCTTACTTCGAAGTGTTGACAATATACGAAATGTCAGAAAACGAAACGGAAAGTAATTATGCTGTTTTAAAATGGAAGGGCAATTTCCGTAGAGAACTTTGCTCGCATAATACATAGTCTGTATGACGTAATATTAGCATGCGCAGGAGTAGTTAAGCATGTTTTTAGGTGTTAGTGATATTGCGTGGCATTACAGTCTACATTTTATCGTTTCGTTAAACGAATGTATGTCTTAAAACAGCTATAAATACTGTTGAATAAAACATAAAATTATAAAAACATAAAACATTTTTGGGCTTTGTATAAATTTAAAGTTAGTGGAAATTTACTGAATTCTGTATATGAACGTGTTTGACCACTTACATATGTATGTATGTATATTATTGAAGCTATACTTAACGTTGAAAAGAAACTTAAACATAATATAAAATAAATGTAATACGCAAACCACAAACCATAATATATAATTTTAATATTTTGTTTATAATATATGTTCGTATATATGTACATGACTGAAGTTCACTTAGCACTCTTCATAAAATCTCTTTAAAAATCTAGTTAAAAACTGTTTTTAAAAATTCAATATTTTTCAGGAATTAAAATCTAAATTTAAGACCCCGAATGCAGAAAAGTGTAATTTTTTCACAATTTTTATACTATACTAAATGGACTTGAAACTAAAAAATTTTTATATTCAAAAAACAATAATTTCCCAAAAATTTGTTTTTTGATGTCTCTTCTAACTCCCAGTTTTTCCTTGTTAGTATATTTAATTTAATTTACGTCGGTAGCATATAAACTTTTTTTTTATAAATAAATTAAATTCACTAGTGCCTGCTTTAACAAAATTCAGTCATGTATTATATAAATAATTAAATATGCATATTTCTTAAGTAACACTAGACTACGCTTGACACAATTCACTTACCCATACAACGGCCAAAGCCCGGATAAATTAAATTCTTTGTTTCTTCAGATTGTTGTTTGAGTTCACCGTTAATACGCAACAATTCTATATTGTTTATTTTTTAGAATGCACAGAAAACGTGATTAAATTAAACGTAAAAGTTCTTTTTTTTTTGTACTTTGCAACGCGCTAAACGCACGTTTCGCAACACACGATCGATTGTAACTGCTCGCTTGCGATTGATCGACGCTTCAAGCAGTTGGCTGTCTATATATAGTATAAGAGCGCGAGAGTACGCTGTAGTAGTCTACAAGATTTATTTGCCTGGAAGTCTCTGGCTTTGCTTAAGTTTTTTCGCCAACTATTTGGTTTCTTCACTGAGTCACTTGTTTGTTTACTATATCAAACTTGTTTTTGTTCTGGTGTGCTTTTATTTTAGTAAATATTTAATTGCACGTGATTCTTACCAAAATTTTCTTTGGTGCCGCTCTTGAGTATAGGTTTTGTGTTACACTTTTTTTTTCTCCAATTATGGCTCAACGCTTATACGAAGTATAAAATGAGCGAAACGTATTTAAAAATCAAAAAACGTAAAACGAAACTGATAGATAATATTTTCGAAAACGAAACGGAAACGAAAAAACAACACCCTTTATTTGTGACGTTGTTCTAATTGCTGTTGTTGTTGTTGTTGTTTCTAACACGCACTGCTATTTGAATTAGTTGCCTGCTTTTTGCCTGTTTAAATCAGGTCAGAGTTTGTGTGTATTGGCGAATTAATCGACATCGGAAAACGGTTTCCTTTGCACCGTTCAGCACAGAAAATTGTAATGATCCAAATTGCTCTGGGATTTGGAACGGTTTATCGCTTGTCGTTGTCGCTGTTGCTGTTGTGTATATCTCTTCTGGGCGCTGTACTCCTTTTGTTTGTAGCTCTCAATGCACTGTGATCCTTTTTCGTTTGGTAGTTATCCGCACAAAAGTCAAAAGACGACTGAATTGTTGGCAATTTGCTATTCACATTAAATGACGATCAGAACACGTACGATCTGTGCCTACGAACTGTGCCAGCGCATATATATAGAGCCGAAGATCGACGGCGAGTAGCGAATGCCAGCTATCAGACTAGGTCTGTCTGTATGTATGTTTGCGCTAATGTACAACTAATGTCACGCTTTGTTTGTGTGCTGCTATGATTATTAGTAAAATATTTTTATTTTATATTATTTTTTGCTTTTTGTTGTTTTTATGTTTATTGTTATTTTTTGCTTTGTCGCTGCCGCAGACACACATACATATGTATATAAGTATGCTTGTGTGCGTGAGTTGTGTGGCACGATAACAAAAGTTTGCTTTTCAATATTTGTTGTATTAGTTGTTGTATACGCTGTTGTTTGTGTTTTGGCTTTGAAGGTCTGCTCCGTTGACGTCTCTACAGCCCAATTTATGGTTTTATTGTACCACTACGCTAGTTTGTAATGTCGATTTACGACAGTTATACAGCTGTCAGTGTTGACAGCGGGGTAAGGAGTGAAATTGGTGCAGAGTGAAGTGCCTGCCGCACAGGTAATTTAATCACAATAAGTATTTCGCCGTTTAAAATGTATACACATTCATACATACAAATGTCACACACATATAGCTGTGTTTGTGTGTGTATTTGTAAACCTTTATTGCGTCGTAAACAGCTGACTGGCGGCTTGTCTGCTGATAGGCGCAGCGTGGCTTGGAGTCGCAATATCCGACAATTGCTTAGTTTGCACTCCAAATGGCTCTCGCTTTCCGGCAGCTGACTTAGTGTTGTACGAAAAAAAAATCGTTTCGTTTACTGCTTGTTTTATTGTTATGGAATTTTTTTGTTTGCTTACTTCACTGAACGTACGTAAGTGAATTTTAGTTTTTTTTTACTGTTATTATTTTTATTTTTATTTTTGGCTATTGTTCACTTTTTCAATAGCGCTTTTACGGTTTATTACCTGTTTTCACTATTTACTTTCTGTTTTTATCTTTAGAATTCGTTAGGAATGTTTGTGTTGACAAGTAGTTTCTTTTTCGAGATTGTATGTACTTTCGCGCTGTTTGGCGAATTTTTGATAGTTGTGAAATACTAACTTTTTGTTTATGTTTGTTACCAAGTATCTCGAAATTCGTTGTTGATTTTTATCTAGTTAATACATGAATATTTGAAATTATTGTTGTTGTTGGTAATTGGTTTTCTTATTAATATTATTTTTTTTTTTTTGCAAAACTCAAAGAGTTTAAGGTTGAAAAATATTTTATTTCATTAAATTAAATTGCAAATTTTCGTTACTTTTTACACGTCGACAAATTGTCCGTCCAACGTCACTGCCGCGCACTGTAAAAAAAATTAAAAATCACGTTATTCAAAAATATGAAAAAATGTGCACAGTTTTTAATAAAAAAACAAGAAAAAACGTTAACTTCGGCTGCACCGAAGCTATAATACCCTTCACAAATGCAAAGCTTATATGACAGCAATATGCTATAGTGATCACATCTGATTTCTTTGCAGATTTCATTATTGCCTGAGATAATGATCCGTTCCAAATTTCGTGAAGATATCTCGTCAAATGAAAAAGTTTTCCATGCAAGCACTTGATTACGATCGTTCAGTTTGTTTGACAGCTATATGCTATAAAGGTGCGATATTGGCGGTTCCGACAAAATTTCAGATCGATATCTCAAAAACTGAGAGATCAGTTCGTGTATACACAGACAGACGGACAAAAAGACGGACCTGGCTACATCGACTCAGCTCGTCATGCTGATTACATAGATTTCTTTCTGGGTGTTACAAGCCTCATGACTTTGTAGAAAAACGTTTTTAATCATAATTTTATATTTCACAAATTATTTATGGTGAAAGCATCGAATATATTGACGTACACCAGTTTTTACGCCTTATCAAAATAATTAAAAATCATAAATTTGTTACTGCTTATCCAAATAAATAAAAATCACCTAATTGACAAAAAATCAAAAGCTCAAGCCCCCACAGTAAATTTTAAACAAATTATATCTATAATGTTTGTTTAAATTAAGTGCGCAAATCACTATCTGTAAGGGCTCATTTCCGTTCGCACTTGCAGACAAATAAACAACTATCGCATAGCCGAAAAAATTAGCAGTGCAATAAGAGACATATCAACAGGGGCGGCTCTATGTAATTGTGAACTTATGTTAAGAAATATTTGAGTATTTCTTTTTAACTAGAAATTATTTTATTCTTTAGCAAGAAATCTATTATTAGCCTCACCTCAAAGAGTTTTATCTGGTTTCAAGTATATAAGAGCTTTTATAAAAAGCCAATAGTGCTCTTCGAAAAACTCAAAGTTACGAACTTAACGAGTTACTCTCGTGCCTTTATTTGTATGCAAATATTTATATATCATCCATTTTGTATTTGAAAATAAAGGGTGGACCAAACGTTCGTTCACATTTGAAACGGTAGCTGTTTTGAACAGGTGTTTATGATTCGTTCGTGCAAAAGTGTTAAGAAGTGTACTAGCAGCCAATGACAATTCACTGCCAAGGTCTTAAAAAAGTATTATCAGTATGCGAAACAGCTAAAAAGCTTTAACAGTTTAGATTAAACTGCAAGTGACTTTTTTTTGTGGGGATTTGATAAGTGTAAAGTTTTCAACAGTAAAGCAGTGCTTTTTAAAAAAATTTTGACATTTTTCTCGTGGAAATGCAAACTTTTTTTCGAAGCACTTATTCAGCTATTGAAAAAAAAAACCTTTTCGCTTTAAGCCACATAATTTTTTTAATAAACAGTTTTCGTCTAATTTTTCTCAACGTTTGACACGTAAAAACCACTTAAGATCCACCCTATATATAGCACATATAAAGCTATTTTTGTATTTTCATAGGCCTACACTTTTGTTTATGCGAAAGTATCATTTATAAACAAATCGTGTTGTTGCAAAAATTCTTAACCACATTCTAGTTTAATTTTCATTTTTATGGGCGTTGTGGTGTTGTGGTGTTCTTAGTATGAATGGCGCAGCTTTTCAGTTGTAGCTTTCGTTGCCCTAGGCATTTTGACAACGCCAGCTGAATGTCATAGAAATATCTTGAATTTTGATTTGGCATCTGCTTTCGCTTTTATTATTTTGCTTTTTCGTAATAATGTAGCACATAAATGTAAACAAGTGCTGGCCATTTATGCTGAATGTACGTACATGTGTAATTAAAATTAAAATTCTTAAATTTGAACAGAGCAATTTTCAAGAAAGAGGCGCTAGTGAGCTCTCTCTATACATATGTAGTATGTACAAAAAGGACTATAATGAAGAGTTTGACAAATATTATCCACATTTATACTCCTCTAATTTTTCGAAGAACTTTTTTATACACTGAAAAGGGTTTAATAAGTTTGCCACCCAGAAGAAAACGTCGTACACCCTAAAAGTATATACTTGTATATAAATGAACAGCGTGACTAGTCAATTTAGCCAAGTCGGTCTGTCTGTCTATTTTAATATACGTTTGTATATATATATATGTATATACATATTTTTGAGATATCGGTCTGAAATTTTGTACACATTCTTTTCTCTCCAAGAAGCTGCTCATATCAGATCACCACCATACAAACTGAACACACTGAATCAAGTGCTTGCATGGAAAACTTTTTAATTTGACGTAAATACTGAAATGTTTCGCAACTTAATTATTTATGTAATTATATATCTGGCATATAAAACAAATTGACGCATACATAACAAATTTCGCTTGCTTTATTAAACTTAGAGCTCAATAATATGGAAAATATTGCGCACTCAACTATAATAACCATAATTTTAACGACTTTAGTAAAATTATTTGTACATTTATCAAGTTCTATGCATGCCTGTAAGCCAAGGACTATATGTCTAATGCATGCGACATTTGTGACAACGACCAACGACAAGTGCTTTAACATTGACATTAGCAATGTCATTCGCTTACAGCCAACAGTAAGCCTCCCACCACCTACTTTCAATTAACAACTGTTGTGGCCATTCACGCCCACGGCCGTAAAACAATTTGATTCCAATGAAATGTGTTTAAGGGTTTGGGTTACTAAACCAAAGTGCAGAGCCAAGCTGTAAGTAATTTAAGTAATTTCTATAATGAGTGCAACTAAGCGTACATACTTGGTACTTAGTAAGTGCATACATTTTCTACAGCAACAACTTGAAAATTCTACACCGCAAACTTATAAAATGGCAATATTAAATAAACTTTATTGCCAGCATGAATATAATATAATGTAATCACATGTGCATATTATCACATTAAGTGTATTGCCTGTTATCATCATATTGACAGTCTGGACAGCAATTTTTGGTGTTTTTGTAATGCAAAATTTTCCACTCAAATTAATTTAATTAACTGAAATTTTAATAGGTAAAACGCTTTTGACACACTGTCAGATAGTATGACATATTTAAGCATATAAATACATACATACAGACATATGTTCGATAAATATAATGCATACTGTAGATGCATGGATTTTTATACCAAATGTGTGTATAACGTATGCCACTATTCTAACTATTATAACTGCTATGTAAATATATAGATATACCTTATCTCAGCTGGAAGCTAAGATTTTTTTTTGGAGTGTAACAGAGATAAAATGTAACGGTCTTTTAAATTATAGAAAATGCACGAGTATGCATTTAGTGTACATATATTTTTAGGTTCTACAAACTATAAAATAATAATAGTTAAAATAATACTTGTAACTATTTAATGGGCATAACTTAAGTACGTAATTAGCAAATTTCGAAGGCAGTCATAATTCGACAGACATTATAAAATATTTGAGTGCTTACTTGAGACTTACTACAAAGTCATTATTATGCATTATAATTGAACGCTTGAGACAAATAATGCTACTAACAGATTGGCTGAAAAGTTCACGTCAACTTAGATGTCATCGATCTTGATCTCTTTGTGGATTTGACATCCTATTGCACGATAAAACTAGCCAGAACAGGCACCACCCTACAATTAGACGCCGGAAAAGAGAGAATTTATATGCTTCTGGAATATGGGTCGCACAGCCCGACTATTAAAATTTAAAACTCTACCTACCTACATATATGTAATCGAGTTAAACAGTTTATAACGAACTTTCAACTTTCCGATAAAATTTTTGTGGTACAATTTTTTCAAAATAAGTCTGAGTTTCGGCGATTTGCTTTCAGTGACGATACTCTTAAGCTCTAGGTACAGGAAAAAGTGAGAATACGGGGGCTACGTAAATTATTTATATATAATTAGACCCTAGGTGCTCTTTAGCACATTTACTCGTATTTAAAAAAAAAAACTACTGCTGGAGATAGAAAACTAAATCAAATAAAACTTTTCTATATTGGTAATATCAAATGTAAAAGTACTTCGCTCCAGCATCCAATGCTTCCTCGCATTATTCTATATGAGGAAAACATTAGCTCGCGTTTTTGTAATGAAACTTGAATGATACAGTTATCAAGAAAATAAAAATATATACCATATATATATTTCTATGGAAAATTCCAAAGTTATAAGGTCTCCTCTAAATAAAAGTTTTATAAACACATCTAAGTAAATTAAAATTATATATAATAAATAAATACAACGCAGTTAAGCGACTGATAAGAGATTTACAGTCGCTATAATATATTTTAGTTTCGGTAACCTTAAAGCTAACTTATGCTTATCTAGAAATAGGGCGCTGTAATATACATTTCACTAGAATTTGCGCATTGAATTCCACGTGTTTTATGTAAATAAACTGTTTTATGTAAAACCAAAAAAAAAGCTAAAAGGCTATTAAAAAAGTTATCATATCCCTGTGAAAATAACTTAGACGAATTTAACATAAATATAAAATAGATAAAAGCGATAGCAAAATAAGAAATAACAAATATTTCATGGTTACTATTTTTTTGCGCATTTGACTTTCATCTTTTCATAATAACGAGCATACCTACCTACAAATAAAATACAAATATATATGCGCATATGACACATTAACACTTAATAACAAAACAAATACCATAAATAATTATGGTGAAGGGTGAGGGTTACTTAGTTTTTATGAATATTCAGTAGCTAAAAGTATCACACATACATAGTATATACTCGTATATCTATGGTAAGCATACACCATATAATCATTGCTGTATCCTTGGTGACTTCCAGATAAATTATTGCGTTTATTGCGCACATTTTTTCGCACCAAAAACTAGTTTTATCACCAAAATATTTGACTTCTGCATATTTTTCAAACTACTTATGTTTGTTTATAGACAAATAAAATAAGATAGTATAATGATTATGCTAATGGATATACAAAAAAATTAATATAAATACTAAATCTGCAGATATAATTAATTTGCGAACGGAAGTTAAGAGCTTAAAGTGCGTTGCGTTTTTCGCCCACACACGTTAGCTATTTCCAGATATTTCGCCAATATTTATGCCTGTTTCCATAATTGGCGATTATGTATTTGCATTGTATTGTACATATATTTTTTATTTATGTGTGCGTAATGATGTTGCATCTTTTATTTTCAAGACAAAAGTTTGGTATTACACGCTATTAATATAGATTTTTTAGACCTTGTGCTAGTACCATATTGTATTTTTGTATATTATTGTACAAATTAATTTTGAATTATAGATATTATAATATATTAAATTTTTTCTTAAGAAATATTTTGTTTCAAATATAGGCATATACAAGCCTACATACAAAACGGCTATTAGAATTCTCTCAATGCCAGTGTAATTATTCGTTGTCATACAATTTTAGTCATTCTACAGCACTACTGAAACGGTTGCAGAGAGCTTCGACTTCCTTCCTTATTTGTGAACGCAAAGAATAGAAGTTCGCTTGGGAATTTAATAGTTTGTATTAACAAATATTTATAATATTAAAATTCTATTAACGCAAAATCATATGACAGTATATTGTACAAGGATTTTATTTTGATTCGGCAGTTTCTAAAGCAGCTATATACAATAGTGGTCAGATATCGGCGGTTCGGTATACACGTATACTTTATAGGGTCTTCGACTCTATTTTTGGCTGTTACAAACTTCATGGCAAACTCAACAGGCTGTAATAAGAAATTATATGGCAACGTGATTAGATTAATTATTTTTTAATTGCTATTGTAGTCTAAAGTCAACCCTCAATGGACTTAAGGTCAAATTCCAATGAAATAGAAAAAACACGCAAATTATTAGGAAAAAATTCAGTAACACGAAACACAATAAGAGTTGCCAGCTGCCATTTTATATGACCATAAGCAGACAATATGCCAAGAGTGTTAAACGCTATTGAACAATGAATATTGGAATTCGGCACCTCTTGGGAGTCATTTGAGGCCAAATATCGCATGCACAATTGTACACTACACATAAATATAAACAAGTACATGTGCATATGTAGTAGTGGCAACCAATAGCGTGGGTGATGCTCGTTAGGGCACTCCAATTTGGCGCAAGCAGTGCCACTGACGTCCTTGCGTTATAAATAGGAGTGAGTAGGTGGATGGGAGGCCACCAACTTATGTACGCCACGGGCAGAGGTAGATCTTGAGTAGGTGTTTACACATGCGTGAAAACGTGCCACAAAAGCAAAACAAGGTTTCTTAGCTTTTTTTTTTTTGGTTGATTTTTTTTTATTTATATATATGTATATGTACATAGACTATATGTTGAAATTTAACGATTTTGGTTAAAAATAACATGAATGGGATTGAGTGACAATACTGCCATAGCCATTAATATATATATTTGGTTTCATATAAGCTGTGTAGGTTGGTGGATTGAAAAATAAATGGATTTAAAGGTGCATACGTCAATGGCCAAATTTTAGAGACAATAACTTAAAGTGAAAATATAAGAGCGCAAGATAAATCTGATCGAGTTTGAGCCAAACTGGAAAATAATATTTTTCAGCTTTTTTTCTCGACTTTCTTTAACATGTGGTGAGGTTATTAATTACATAACTTTTAAATACTTAAAGATAACATAAATTATTGGAAAAGGAACTAGAAACATGAAAGAAATTTTGTGCGTCGTTGTAGTCTTAGGTTGAGCTTACTACGCTCTAGCAGCTCTGAACCGCTTCTGGATCGACTCAATGAGTATTTATTGATATTTTTTGGTATGAAGAGATGCGCAGCTTTGGATACGATGTTGGCTCGATGTTTATCAAAAAATGTAGAATATCGTCGTCATTCGACTTTTTATGCTCTAGAATAAGCTTGCAATGTCCTTTGGCAGTGCCGTAAACCTCGTGGGACCGATATGATATCCCAGTGACTAACTTGTTACATCATAGCTGCTTGTTGAAATTGAGCCAATTTATACCTACACATATCAAAGCTCTCACATTTCTCCGAGTACGTGAAGCCCTAGTCGCAGTCTGAATTGAGTAAAATCATGTGACTGTGAACAGCATACAGTAGTGACTGAGTACCATTACACTATAAAAAGTACAACAAAAGTCAAATTGCTTTTTGTTAGCAACTCAACTCCGTTATAGTGGAATTGAATTGAAGCCGCATCTGGGAATCCTTGATGATACAGTAGTGTGCAGCCATAACGCCAGATATAAAAGTGGATCATTGCCAAACAATAACTCACACACAAATACAATAACGGGTACAAGCAAGTCAAATAAAGGATACAATTTTACAAGTATAACGGCATAAATTACTATAAATACCTACATATGTATATATGTGCATACAACACCTGCGCCGCGTGCCACGAATTGACGTCAGCAACTCAAATTAAGGCATAACGTTTAGCCATGGTTCCACCTTTCACACTGACTCACCTTAAAGTGAAGGAAATGAATTTCTTATAAAAACGGCATTCTTTGTAAATAACAATAGAAGCCTGCTATTGACAGCGCTAGAGCGAAAAAAAGTATTTGCTAACGAGGTTGGTTGGCATGGGTGAGTGACTTCTTCCAGCATTGTAAAATATTTTCTTAAAAAATTCAGTTATAACATACATTTTCATATACATATTATATGAGTTTATTTTATTTACACTTGTGCTGAACTCCTTAACAAAATAAAAGTCTTTTATTTATGCCAAATGTTATTTAAACATAAATCGAAATAAAAAAATCGAAAAATACACGCAAAATCAATGAACCTGAAATATGGCTAACGTGTCGAGGCAGGTGCCCGCAATAGTCAATCGCATTATTATAATGGAAATTTATTGCTTACATAAATGCCAAATGTATAGGTCTGAGCGCACTTCAAGTTCTCAATATCCGTCGACCACCTACAATCCACTAAAAAAGCACCTACACATACAGCCACACACATAAACATTTTTCCCCACACACACGAGAAAAATCGTTATAATATTGTTCGTGCTGCCTCTTCTTCTTTCACAATTTCGCTTGGCCATCACGTGGCAGCAATCGTAAATATTTTTGTAAACAAATAATACATCAGTTGTTGTTATTGCTACAGCAAGTGTTGCTGGTATTTTGTGGCTGCTATTTGGAATTTTTTCTTTCAGCAAAATTTACTATAAATCCTCTCACTGGAAGGCATGCGTAATATGCATTTTTTTTCGCTTTTCTGCTAGAGCAGGCGCATGCGCCTAATAGTATGCTACCAATGGAATTGTCTCTCTAAATATTATGATGAACACAATAACGCCCCTAATTTCTTATAAAGCAATAAGTTTTGTGAAAAATTAGCTATTACAGTTATAGAACTTATAAAAATTAAGTAGTTTTTAAACTCAATTACTTATGGTATGCTGATCGGAAAAGTAATTGTATTGCATTACTGGCCACCCACTGATATTCTAACACAGTTGCCTTGGTAACGCGCTCATAGTTTTATATAAACAAAGTTTGGCAGAGAATGCCTGAATATTTACTCCGCAAAGTGATGGCTAATAATTTTGGGAAGCGTAGCAAAATACCAGGCTCTATATTATTTATAGACCTTTGAAAATGGTAAAAAGTGAAAAAATAATAGTAAAAGGAAACCCATTGCAAAAGGAAGAGCATATAACAAAAATTAAGGGAAAAGTGATTTACGGTGGATCTGAGGTCTGGAAGTGAAAGGGAGGGAAGTGATTGAGTTTTTAAGGATAAAAACGGTTTTCTTCGATTTCCTGAAAAATTAAAAGTTCTATGCAAAAAAGTTAAATGGCAAAGTTGTGTGTAATAAAAAGAGCTACAACTTTTGCTTAAATCCATTTTTTTACATAACCTCAAAATGTATGTGAAAATTTGAAGTAACCAAGTTTTTGGATTTTATATTTACAATTTTATTTCATGAAATTTGGAGTTTTTAATCGTAAGAGGTTTAGAGAACTGTTCGCTTTCAGCAAGGTTCATCTTTCAATAATTGTAGGAGTTCTGGATAAACACTGCCCGCTCGGAATTCATGCAGTAAGATTGAATATCTTACCGTTTGCTAGCTGCATTTGGAAGAAAATGAGATAGAATCATCTCAACACTTCTTCCTCAAATGCCCTGCTTTTAATATACTAATACTGAGGAATTATGCTCAAGTACAGCTTGACATTGATGCACTTGAATTCACACTTTACTAATATGACACTTTTTTTTGAAACCACCAGTGTTGCGCGTGTACCATAACCCCAAATACACAATAAGTGGCTGCTTTGTTATATTGATATGCGAGTGTGGGTTTGTTATAATGGTTGTCTGACAAAACAAATGGTGTCTGCCAAAAAATCGATAAATCTCAAACAAAGAAACAAAGGGTCACACACGCGCAAGTATATAATTCGCATAAAATGGCTCAACCATTGCCTGCAAGCGTGTCATATACATAAAATATTGTTATTACTAATATAATAATTAAAAAAATTTTATTTTACATTTTTTTCTTTCTATTGCGATTTAGAACTTTTACAAACCTGCTACACTGGTGTCCTTCCTCTGCGGCTTTACTGCGTTCTTAGTTTAAAGTGCTATATGTTTTTTATTTGTTTAAACCTTTTTACTCCAATTATATGAACCGTTATAATAAAATAAAATCAGTATAAACATTTTATCGCACATATTTGGTATGAGGTGCATGGCAAAAGTTTCACCGTTACGTTGTTTGAGCATACAACTTTTGTTTATTTTTTTCAACCTTTTTAATTTCACTGCGCAAATTTCGTTTTTCGTTTTCACATTTAGTGGTTGTGATGCTTTTTATAACGTTTGCGTTTCAACATTTAAAATAAATTTATGCAATAACTTTTTATGATTTTTAATACATTTGGTTTAGCTGTTACGAAATAATTTAGTAAATTGCACAGAAAAGGTAAATAAGTATGCGAGTTGTATCCAAAAAAAATGTCACACTCGAGTCAAGAGTTGAAACTTTCCACTGACAACCGAAATACAAGTTGAACAAAAGTTTCCACAAAACTTAAAAACACCAAAAAGTTTTTAAATATTCACTGTCCTTCACAGTCTGCATGCACTTGGATTTCTGTTTTGGAAGTTAAATATTCTTTTCGATTTTGCGTTTTCACTGTGACATCGACTTTTCAAACGGTAAATTTGTAATGACACGACCCACTTGGTTTTATATATATATAATATTTCTATTTGAGAATGTCTGTAACACGTCCGCCAGAGAGTGGCGTCCGGTGGTTGAAGGGAACTGCTGCTCGGTGTTGCGCTCCTATGTTTGGTGCTTTTTCCAGGTCGACCGTTCAATTCGGCGCTTGAAATGAAATTGTGAAATTATTTGCCATGGCAAAAGCCAAGTTGAAAATTTTTCTATGACAGGATAATGCACGAAAGTATTTTCTTCCAGTGCCTGTGTAGCCATATGTCTGTAATGATTGTGAAAAAATTATATAAATACAAATTGTTGTGGGTACGTGTAAGCTGACAACCTATTTTATTCATCAGCTTGTCATTAGAGCCTAATTAGTTGATTTATCTTGTTTTCGTAAGCGTTATGACACAGTTTAGTAATAATAATTATAATATACAAATCAATTTATAATATTTTTATACATATTACCCAAATATTAAGGGTCACACCTAGTGTAACAGCCTAAAAAATATTCTGTTAATTAAAAAAAAAACCGTGACTTCCGATCAGATCGTTGTATGGAGAACTATACACAGAACAGTTAGAAAAAATTTGATCGGATCATTTGTCTCCGCGTAATTACTTAAGCAAATTTGAAAAATTTGGTTTTAAAAAAACACGTTTAAAGATAAACTGATGGAACTAATAGAACTGAGCGACTACACTTTTGTAGGCTGTAACTCCAAAAATATGTGAGGTATCGCTATAAAATATTGGTAGGTTATTTTTAAAAGTATAACCTAGGGAAATATAAAAAAATTTATTTTCAATAAATTTTACACTAGGTGTGCCCTTAATATTAATACTTTTTATATACATATGAGCAAAATATTAAACTAAATTTTTTTTTTAAATTTCTATTAATTTAGTGGGTTTTAATTTGCAAGATGTCTATAATTAAAAAATTTATTAATTAATAAATATTAATAATTCCAAAAAATGTTCAAAACAACTTGAGAAAATCATTAAAATCATTTACTGTTTAACCGTTATTTTTTCAGCACTATATGATTTTTTAGTCTGGCAAGTCTTGCGCTTTCGCACATTTCCTCCTCCCTTCCAACACAATTTTCCAACAGTCTGCTTTTCCTGCACTTAAGCAACAATAAAGTACTTCATGACACATGTCATTTCTGGTATTTTCCAGTTGCAACAACAAAATGCACTTAATCGTTAAGAAACTTTGCAAGCACACGCTGTTTTACTTACATACACACATAAATACATACATGCATAAGCAATGAAAGTGTTAATATTAAAGCTTAATTACCACGTGGCGTGTTAGTAATGGGCCACTTCCCAATGGTCTTACCTTCATTACATTCACAAACACATACTCACACACATTCAAATACACATGTGTACTTTAGATACTGTGTAGGACATGTGCATAGAAGACATGTGGCAATTTTAAAATAGCTGGCCTATTTCCTTTATTGCGGTTACTAACTTAAGTGTGTTATTACTTTTGAGTATTTATAAACATATGTTCAAATGCACATTGATACCAAGAAACAAACAAAAGAATTGGGTTAACGGAAGGTATTAGCAAAGTATTAATTGTATTTAAAATTTTAAAACAGTTAACCGTTACAAGGCCTACATTTTGTGCTTTTTAAGTTAGTTGTACAATTTCCTTGCTATTTCATTCGTCTACCATACTAACGACTGAAATTCTCAGCAAGTTAATAAAATAACATTTTAAAGAACTACTAGTATTCTCCTAAATTCTATTTTACAACTCTTCTTTGTGCTCATGTTACACAGTTTTTTGTGAACAAGTATCGAGATCTCGTTACCACTCAGTATCCATAAAAATATCGAAAAGTTTTTCATGCCTGAAATACTCATATCAACTGTGACACGGACTGGCCAATTTAAACTTACAACCTTTATATGTTCGTGTGACGTTTGAGCTCCATATTTCAGTTAGTGTTCGTTTGGCAGCTGTTTGTTTTCGACGCGATTTTCACCATGTGAAAAAATTTAACAACAAATTTGCTAGAAATTTTGTTTTTCCCTTTGGAATCACGGCAGCGGAATCGTTCAAACAGAAAGGTTTTTGGGGAGTCTCCTTTACCACGAACACGAGTATCTAAGTGGAACAAAGCATTCAGTGAAGGTCGTGAAGTCATCGAAAGTTGCCTCATCCGGGGCGTTATTCACCTCGATTAAAGGGAGGATAGGGTTTTACAATTTTTTTTCCGATTTTTTAATTTTTATTTTGATTGAAGACATAACATCTCAAGAATGTTGTGTCTAAATTGCAAGTCAATCGGAGCAAAATTGACGAAGCTATGACTATTTTTATACTTGTTTTATGAACGTTTTACACCAGATTACAAAACTTTAAAGCGTTATCTGTACAACTCATGTTTTCAAAGTTGGTGCCCCTCATAACTTCCAAACTACTGCACCGATCGTTTTGAAATTTTCAACGCTATTTCTGTACATAATTTACAAGATACCAGCTGAAAAAATTTTATCTAACGAATGAACCGTGACTTTTTGATTTCGGATGATCCATTATGAGGGACACCGCATTCCAACTATTTTTCTGAGACTCTCCAGAATAAATGCCGACATTGTTGTATTTTTTAATATTTCTCCATAAAATTTTTACACAATATTCCTTAAATGTCATGCTATAATGTACCATGCGCTTTAAAAAATATATTTCAATTGTTTCATAAAAGTTTTTTTTTTCAAAAATGTGCCTTTTTTTACATGAATTAACTTTATTCCCTCCTTAATGACGATGATATCGAAAAAGTTAAAGAAACAGTGCTTGAAAATCAACGTATTGGCATCAGAGAGATCTTCTGCTATGATCTCTGCATCTCTTACGAATCGACTCAACAAACAAAACTTACAAGCAAAGAGATATATCGATAACTGTTTCTACCGCTTTTAATAAAAATCACTGCTTCAATATTTTTAATACTAACGGATATAAAGCTATATATTACGCAATATAGTTACAGATATTATAATATATTTTTATTGTAAATGCAAAATACAAAGATAAGGTATGAGTATCGAAAATAAATACGTTAGATCGCGCTACACCTAAAATATATAACAAATAACTATATAAAATATAAAACATAAATATTATTATAATATTAAAAACCCATGCCCTGCAACACGCTCAAGAGCGGCGGTAAAGCTCGATGTTTCTTCTCTTTATCGCTGCGACACTTCTTCTTGTTATCGTTGCGTTTACTATTATTTGAGCTATCATTAATATCGGTATCGGTATCGCTGTCGGCATCATTATTGTTATCGCCTTGCACTGCTTTCATGTCATCACCGGAGAGACTGGCTTTGTCGTTGCTTTTATCGTTTGTTAACGTGACTTTATTCAACGCAATTGGAGTGTCATTATTGATGTTGTTGTTGCTATTTTTGTTAGCAATTTTAGTTTCTTTCATATTGGCGCTACGGATAGGCGTGATCGATGCTGCTGCCGCCGGTGCCATATCATCCTCATGCATAACCTCTTCGGGCGTGGAAATGATTTTTATAATGTGCTGGACGCTGTTATTTGGATTGTCAGCACTTTCATTGGCTTCACGTTGCGTTGCACGAAGCATTGCTTCATCGAGCAGTCGCTTACATTCCTCGATTTGATTTTTCCAAGCGTGCACAGCATATTGCGCCTGTTCAATGAATTCATTTGGTGGCAAATCTGATATGTCGGCTTTGAGCGGCATTGCGAATTCGTTGACAAGTATGCGTGGCTTAGTGGGCGCACCTTTTGAATTCGGCTTTGTATTTGTATTCGTATTGACATTTTGAATGCCGCTGCCACCTTCATTGCCGTTATTACCGTTTTCATTGTGTTGTTCATTTAGAAAAGCAGGATTGTTAGAGTTATCACTTCCTTTTTGAATATTACTCGGCGGCCCCGCTACTCCGTAGATACGCTTGAAAGCGCCAATTCCATCGTTGTAGCTGCTGTTAGGCTCATCTTCTTCAGCAAAACCGTAACGCCCTTTACAATTGCCTCTACTAGGCGGTCTTTTCGGACATATTGGCTTCGGACGTTCATCTTGGCAAGCGCCTAGAAAATCTCCCTCCAGCTCATTAATCTCCTTAACAATGGACACCGCATGTTCCCGCATGCGCTTTATCAAACACGTCACATGCTCAATCGTATCCTTGGTGTCCTTTACGGCCGCATCTAAACACGCTTGCTGCTCTGGCGTTTGCGCATGACAAGTGTAGGAAGCTTTTTGTTCCTGTTCGTGACACTGTGAGTTATCGTTATCGCAAGCGTCGCGTTTCCGATTCAGAGACTCATTCTCCATCAAAAAAGGCGGTTCTCGTTTCATTTCACTAACTTCTTTATTTTCCAGCTCATCCTGTTCGCTGTCGTCGTCGATCTGATAACTATCAATTGGATGCTTATCTGAGTCAAGTTGTGATTTTCCATTTAAGCGTTGTTGTAAAAGCGCTTTATCGACATCAAAATTTATTGCATTAGCCAACGTATCATAATAATTGACATCTTGATAAAAAGTGTCTTCATTTGGGTCGTTTGTAGCCGCGGACCATTGCAACAATACGATGAGTAGCAAGAAGTATAGCAACGGCTGACGTCTGCTTATCGTCATTTTAAAGAAATATTTTTTACATACTCCTAAATAAATTATTTGAAAACAAAAAAAAGCTAAAAATGTTGTAAATGTCAAAAGATATTTAAAAAAGAATTCGGCAATAAGAATATAAGAAAATACATATGTACGTATTGTTACAGAGTGGCCTGAATTAATTATGTATATCTTTATTATTAGTTTTTTTTATCTCTTAGAGGGTGTATTTGGTTTGCACGAAGTTTGTAGCATCTATGAAAAAATGATCAGCCTGATGAAACGGTTTAGACTACTTCTACTACATTTTTTGAGTTATCGATCTGAATTTTTGCATACGTTTTTTTTTTCTCACCAAGAAGTTGTTAATTTTTTAGAACCACCGATATCTGTTTACTATGGAACATAGCTGCCATACAAACTGACCGAGCGAAATCAAGTTCTTGTATGAAAAAGTATTTTTTATTTAACAAGATATCTTCACGAAATTTGTCATAAATACGTTTGTCTTGTTGACTGGGTATATAATCAACGTTGCTTCCACTGAACATACACCCTGTGACACTTTATTGGTGTGAGAAGTTTCGCTACTTCCGCAATAATGCAATTCGTCAGTGGTGGTGTATACTTCCGCATAAGCAGAAGTAGCTGATTTTGCTGCCTGTAATAACTAATAGTTTAGCGACTAAAGAACGCTGCATACACACAAAGCAAAGTGCAGCTGAAAATTGCATGTAGAAGTGAATTTATTCCAATATTCAAGTGCTTAATCTACGCTAAATAAGCTGCATTGTTTAATAGTGCAAATACAAAAACATTGCCTACTTTTTGGAGCAACTAAAAAATTTTCTGAACTTGAATCGCTTTTAGAGCAAATGTGTACTCATTCTTACACATATTTATAAGCTGTGATTTGTTCAGCTAGTGCACGCAGTCATGTACACGGCAACAGGCGCCTCGCTGGCGGTATGTATTTATTTCTTTTTATCGTTTGTGTTCGGCAACTGAATGCCATTCGCACAGAAACAGTGTTGCATGTGAAAGAATTTGTAAATTATTTTTCACAATTAATTTGTCGATTATTTTCAATGCAGTTAAGCTTACTTTAAGCGGTTTCGCTATGAAATTTGTATAAAAATCTGTTGTTATACAATTCATTTGTACGCAGGAAACCGTTCAGAAAATACACGAACTAAATTTACAACCCTGAAATTTTTATATATTCTTTCTGCACCGTTGGCATTTGATCAGGTGGCAGACGTTGACTTCGCTGTCGCTAGCAGGCAATCCAATTGGAACATACCGTAGATATTTCTGTTGACGCTTTCAATTGTTTGCGTTTTGCCTTTGCTTCGTTCGCTTGAATTCGCTCGTCAGTACGCGCGCGTATGTTATTATCGCATTTACTACCTCAAAAAAGGCTGAGATATACTAGAAATACGTGGTTTTAATTGTTTACTGTGGGTGAAGTTACTGTAAAAGGTCACAATCGGAAGTTCAACTTTTGTGCCCCTCCCCATAAACGCGAACGCGTGTATGCATGTGCGAAAAATCAGGTTACGGGACTTTCTCGGCTTCCACTAAATTTGCGTTCGAATTGTTGTTGCTTTATACGATTTATTGACGTTTCTGCTCATGCGATCGCTCAAAGTGTATTTACATATATATATTTTTTGAATCGTGGAGAAAGTGATAATATACAAAAGTGCAAAATCGAAAACATAAAGAAAAATCTTCTATATATCCGCTTAAACCATCCAGTAAGTTAGTGTAAAAATGTAACAGGTATTCCAATTTAATTTTCCCATGCAATTTTAAATTTTGCAAATTATAACAATTTCTTTGAAAAATTGTGTCAAAAAAGCGCGCACATTAAGTAAGAAGTGAACGATTTGTCTGATTTCTTTACGTTTACGGTAAATAAATTGTTAAGTATTTGTGAACATCTAATAAGAAGCAACAATTGGTTGCGTGTTTAATTGTGAAAATGCACAAAAGGCAATGGAATGCAAATTTTAGTATACTTATGTGCAATAAGTTTGTAAATACATGAAATGTTATATTATTAATATAATTATATCACTGATAAGGAACCTGAAGGCTAATGTATTTAAGTTCAGCGGTTGTTTAATGCTGTTTAGGATAAATTCCTATATTGGCACTACTATTTATTATTCAGTGTTTTAGCATTAAAAATCGTTTATAGATAGTATGATAATAGTGTGTGGTGTCTGCAAAAAAAATGCCATTAATAAAAACACATAATTATTAGCAAAGCTATTAAGCGTCAGCGTTGTGGGTAATGTTTACCCAGCTGCCATCACATTTCATCTCGCTTGCAACGTCATCACCAGTAGGTTGTATGCCCACGGATTTCACTACATTTCAAAGCAGCAATATTCATCAACACTCTAAGGCTGACGTCTTAAATCTGTAAATTGCATGATCAACGGTTTTAAGTGGTCTCTTTGTTTTCAGCGGCTGTACCATGTTATTTTGATTGCTTTGTTTTTCAGAGATCACTGAACGCTTCATTGCCTGTGTTTCCATTGTTAATAACGTAGACAATCAGTGCGCTGACTATACCTATTGTTGGTAGCCTAATGATTTGCGCAATGTAAATACATAAACGCCTTTCTCTTTTGCTTGAAATTTCCCTTTAAGCAATAATAAAAAATCTTTAAATATAGCAGTGTTAGCAAAATGTATAGATGTAGATATAAACGTGCATTACTTTAATTATTTTTGGTAAGACTTGATTATTGCCGCACGTGGAAAGCAGCAGAGTTTGAAATCATTATAAAGTCGCGCAAATTCGTAAACCGGTATAACAGTGCTAATGATGTGCCAGACAACGAAGAAGTGCCAAAGCATCACCAACCACTTGTTGCTTCACCGCTTTCAACTTTGGTTATTTTCAGGTTGTTTGCGCTTGTTTGGCTTTGTTGTGTAATTTTTAATTACATTTTCACGGTTTTGTAGATACATGTGTCAAATTCAGTAAGGGCCATTTTTTCTTTGGTTTTTAATATTTAGTAGTTTAAGCTGAAATTAATTTAGTGTCGAAAGTTTCCAAACATAAATTTATTTACCGTTTATTTTTGAATTTTTTTTTCTAAATCAAATAAATGCTTACACATTTATAATACATACATACATACAGATATCCACTTTCATCTCTTCCATTAACTATAACAACAATATAAACACAGCCGATTGCATGCGCTGTTTACTGCCTGTCAAAGTAAAATTCACTTTTTTTTCCACAGTTTCTAAAATTTGTTTATTTTCATTTTTGCTTTACTACAATTACCGTTACTGCCGCGCGACTGCATTTTTTTTATAACTCGTTGCTTCGTGTTGCACGTAAACATACCCCTGCTGCTTTACTGCACTTGAGGCAATAATTTTTTTTAACGGCAACGCAAGGCTTCATGTTGCATGTAAACAAATGCTACGTTGCATATTAATGGGTGAATAATTTATTTTGTGAATCATATTCTGTATTTTTGGTTTTTATGAATCCCATACATACCATATTTTGATTTTATGGCTTTTTGTGGCCTGCATGTAATTTTTGTAGTTGTCTCATTAGTAAAAACTGAAAGTTCTTTAGGGTGTGGTAATAAAGCGCAGAAATTGAGCATTACAAAAGCTGTATTTAATTTTTTTTTTTAAATAACTAAAATATAGTATTTAGATTTACTACTTTTCTAGTTTCTTTTACGCATATTTCTCATTTGAGACGTTTATTTGACTGATCTGTTTCGTATTTTGATTACATGTGACCTCACTTCATTGATCTCTTTTTCAACTTTGTCTGAGATTTGTGTATACCATATTTTGATCTCATTGGAATTGATGTCGATTGAGTAGACATGATTTGATCATACAACATTTGATTTGATTAGATTTCATCACAAAGTGATATCACTTCATAATCTAAATGTTAGTTATTTTTGGTAGCACAGAATTTACTTATTAACCTAAGCAGTATTTATGATTTGAAAGCCGTAAACATTAGAAATTATAGGAAATAATTAAGAAATTAGTTTAGTTATGATTCGGTTTTTAAATTCGCATAAGCATAAATATAATATACACAAAAAATTTCTGCTTACTTGTAAATGATTTCCATCTACGCATCACGCTTTTGATCGATTACAATTGGTTACGCTTCAGTTATTTATTTTATAAGAAAAATCAATTATAGCGCAATATTCAATTTGTTGATACTAGCAGCAACACTTGGTGCTATATATATGTATGTATGTGCATAAGAATATTATACTAAAAGCATTGCTCTCATTTACTCAGTGGCCAATGAAATCCACTTAAGATTTTTATTTGCCACTGGAACAAATGCGATCATTGTTGATTATTTTTGCGCCAGTTTGTTTTGTTTTCCATTTCCCGTTTTTCAAATTTCATTATTTTACACCACTAATTACTGCTTTCGACAGTAAATGTACTCTGAATTTTTCATTCTTATTACGATCGCCGTTAAACGTGAACAAGCCAGTAAGCGACGACTGTGTAAACACAATTCGTTTTGCTGTTGTTGTTTGACCCAGAAACTCTGGAATTTCATATTCCGTGCGAGTTCATCGCATTCAGTTGATTGACTGATTTTCAACGATTGACTCACTGCCGACGAGCATAAACGACAATTTGACTCATAACACGAGTATGTGGTGTATATTACTTCAAATATTTTATTAACTTATAATCTAGACTACATACTTTTCTAATCTATATAATGTATGTATAAGTACATATCTTAACTTTCCCGCCAATGCCAATGAGTTATGCCAAAAAATTCCTCTATCATATCTTATATTTTTATTTTATCTTTTTTTTTGCATTTTCCGAGAAGTTTAACCATGGTAATGTATATTTTTTAATACCATCAGAACATAGAGATTTCAACAAACTTAAAGCCTACTTAGGTTTTAAAAAAATCTGAAAAATTTACGTGAGAATTTTTGACAGAAAATAAGGGTGTTTTTCGAATTTTAGTCGAAATATGGTTTCCTCCTCAATATTTTATATATAATATGTTTGGAACATAATAAGAAAGATTTACAGCAAATTTCTTGAAAAAAAAGTGTTTATTTGTACAAGAAAAAAATAAAAAATCCAAAATATAAAAAAAAAATGTTGAGGTTATGGAAAACGATCTTTTCATTACATACAACTTTGCCATTTAACTTTTTTTTATAGGACTGGCAGTTTTGTCGGAAATTGTGATAAAACATTTTTAACCCTTAAAAATTCCTCTTCCCCGACCTCAAAACGCGCGTAAATAATTTTTTCTTTAATTTTTGTTACTTTTTCTTTCGTTTCCAATGAGTTTTAACCTACTATTATTTTATTTTTTTTGCTTCCAAAATTATTTACCCTGGTCTAACATGAGCGGATGGGTTGTCGATCACATTGGATTGATCGCAAACGAGAGCTAGGAAATGAAATGAGAATACAAATTAGTGACCCCCATTTGGAGCACGCGCTTGCCATAGATTCATATAAACACATACAGAAATACACACACACATATAAAAAAAGATAAATGCTTGAAATATAAATATTGTAAACAAAACGAAAAATACGAAAGGCAAAGGCAATTTCGAAACGCAAATTGCATTCAGCTGCGGTGTGTCTTTGTTGCCGTCATATTTATACGTGGAAATATTTCTTTGCATTTTCTCTTTGGTTGCTTATGGCTTTAGTGTGAATATTGTGCAATGCCCTCAGTACCATACACTTTGTATGGACTTTTTTTTTGTTGGTAAAATTTATATTAGGTTATGCTTTGCTAGTAGTTAATTGGATTTTATCTGCTAAGCTTTGTACCTAAGGTTTAAAACAGTCAATAATTTTGAGAAAACCTTCGACAATAAATTGCAAAAAAAAAAATGAATGAAAATTTGTGAGCTAAACTAACAATCAATTTAATCAAGTAAATGTTAGAATATGACTTTTTGTCAAGACAACAGAAACTTAATAACCGATTAATATCAGAAAATATTAGACTAACAAATTTTCCGCAATTCGCAGCACCTTTTGGGAAAGTAAACAAATGATTTAACATGAAAACTGTTTGTAAACATTAGAAATATACATATGTATGTTTATTTGCACCACATACTTTTTGAATGATACAATAAAGCACATAACTGCTAAAAAAATTTATCTCTTGACCTTGATCAATAAGGCGTTGCAAAAAATATATATGTACGTATGTATATGTAAAGCAAAGAAAGCAGAAAACAACAAGCATGTGAAAATGCAAAATGGGCATTAATTAAAGCATGAGTTCATGCGCTGAATGAATAGAAGAGAAAGGCGACCTCAAAACTAAAAGTTTTCTGCTACCATTCTCAAGCGCACGAAAGTCCGAAATAAACACACTTTGAAGTATGTTTGTAAGAAATATATATTTATTACAATACAATTGAATGACGAAATGCAGTTGTGTACACTGAAGATCAAATTTGAACCGGACATGTCTGTATTTTGATTGATACAACCTTTTTTTTAAGTTCGTGTGAAGTTTGATCTCCATATGTCAATTGTGCGTATTTGGCAGCTGTTTGTTTACGACGCCAAAATCTTGTCTGGCGATTTTTACCATGAAAAAAAAAATTATAATAATAAAAACGAATTTGTTTGAAATTCTGTGTTTCCGATGGAAACAGGGCTATGGAATGGTTGAATATGCTGCAGAAGTGTTTTGGAAAGTCTACTTAATCACGAACACAATTATTTGAGTGACACAAACCATGCAGTGAAGCACGTGAAGTCATCGAAAACTTGCCTAATGCGAGTAGTTCATCCACCTCTGTTAACAACAACGAAAACATTAACGAAACAGTGCTTGAAAGTCATCATTTTGACATCAGGGAGATAGCAGAGGATGTCAACAGCTCTTATGGATCGATTCAACAGATTTTGGTTAATGTTTTGGGTATGAAACGTGTCAATGCTAGACTCAAAAGACATGAATCTTTCCACCTCGTCTTCTTCCATACAGCTTCTGCAGCTCCGACTAAAATAATCGAAGTATTTTAACTTTTTTATATTTAAATGTTTAGAAAATCTTCGAACACATGTCTTCGAAATTTCGATGACCTTTCGCTAACAGCGAATTGCTTAAAAGCTTCGATAACATTCACTTTGTAAGAGTGTGTTATCTAAAACTTGTTATCTACCAGCGGCGATGATGTGCATATATTAGCTTCATCCGCTTTGCCATTTATTTCCTCTCAACTGCATACATTTTATTTGCATATATTTTCTTCTGTACGCCTTATTTACGTTTGCTACACTTCATTTTGCCTTATTTACATATAAATGTATATATTTATGTGTATAAGAGTATATATTGCGTACTTTTGGTTTGCACGATCATGCTGCCACGATCATTGTGCCAATTTTTCGCTCTTCTATTTTTCAAATTTTCCTCCCATCTGTCTTTGTATTGTCATTCGGCCGCTTATTTCTTGCTACCGTTTGCGAATTTCGTAGGTTTTTATGTGTGCACCGACATCTGTACATAAGTATGTATGTACGCTTTTGCAAATTATTTGCAATCTCCTACATTCCATTTGCATTGGCGCATATTTATCAACCATATAAAGCGATAGCAGCGACAGCAAAAAAAAATAATAATTATAAATAAATGGAAAAAAAGCAGTTTGTACTACCTTCATTTAATCGGGCACGTAACGCCTTCATGCGACCATCTTGACGATTGTGCAAAGAATAAAACGTGAGCGGGTGGAGGGGGGGCGCGCGCAAGGTGTTGTGAATATTCACGCGTTCGACACGATTTGCGTAAGCGCGACAAGTGCGCTTCATGGCTCTATAACACATCAGCTAATAATTTGATATTTACACCGTGCATAATTCCAAGCAACACTTGCTTTGTCGTCGCTGGTTTTGGTCTCATTAACGTCACCTTAGCCACGTCATTCATTAGCGGTTTATTTAATAAACAGTAATATGTATACAAAAAATAGGCATTAACTCACTTTGCATTGTAAGTATGACATGACTAAGCGCTGCACCTAAAAAAGGGCCAAGTCCATTGCGCATACTACAAGTACGTACTCGTGCATACGCCTTGTTTCCGCAGCGTCAATCATTGGGCGGTGCCACTTCTGCAGTTGTCTAGCTGCAACTTTTGTTGTTTTTGCTTATTACATAAGCAATTTAATTATGATTTTTGTTTCTGTATGCTCTTTTCTCACGCTCTGTGAGCGCAAATTGCCCTTCCCTAGATTGTCATACTCTCCGTTCTGCCACTTACTCATCCAAACATGCTTACATTGCGAAAGGACAGCTCTTGGCCGTATAAAATTGCGCCAATTCCGGTAACGTAAAACCGGCTGTCGTGAGAATTGCTCGTATTTCATCCGTATTGCTCCTGAACAGCCGTTGTTATGAAAAATGAAATGAAATCTAATTTAGTTATAATATTTGTTTTTATTTTCTCCATCCCTTTTCTTCGCATATTTGTAACCATTAAGTGGTATTACTCGTTTTGCGAATATGGCTATTTCTAATCGTCAAGGCTGTTGAAAAGTGACGTATGCTCGTACAATTATGCACATTTGTGACTATAAATATAATCTATATTCTAAACAAACATACATACTTATCGCTGTGTAAACCGTTTTATAGTCAATATCGCTTATCTTCAGCTTATTCCGCGCTCTAAATTGTATTTTTATTTATATTGTACTTACACAAACAAATTCATATATAACTGTTCTTTGATAATATGCTATTTAAAATCTTTAATCACTTTCAATGTGAACGGTTTACAATCTACGAGTATAATGCATTTCCGGTTTTTAGTCGGACATTGTTAAGCAGATAACATTCATACCGGCTTTGTACATATGTATACATGAATGTATGTATGTATGTAATTTTGTATTTAGATTTATTTCGAATTTTAAATAAATCTTAACGGTGGTTTTTTAACAAAAGTTTTTGAGTTACATTCATTTAAAAGGTAGCCGCCCTAGGTGTGCCACTTAAAATTATCTCAAATCAAAAAACCAAAAAAAAAATTATTATTACTATATATTATCAATTTATTACTATATATATATATCGTGACAAATAAATCTAAAAAGATCGTGTGAAAATTTCTAGTCAAACGGTCAAACCATTTCGGAGATAGTTTTCTAACCGACTCTGAAAACAGCGTTTCAAGAAAAGCGCGTTCAAAGTTTTGGGTGCCGATTATACGATGTATTTTGAAAAATAATAATAATTCTAATTTTTGGAATACATTCTCAAATATGTACATAAATTCTAAATATTGTAGTATATGCAAATAAAAAAATAGATTTTTTGATATTCACAAATGTGTATAACCCCTTAATCAACAAAATAGGTCTATTAGTCTAAGCTTCAACTTAATTTAATTTTCGAATATTTAAATAATACACCGTTATGATTTTTAGTTTAATGATCCGAGTTTGGAGTCATAATTCTACCATTTTTCTTCTATATTCTACCATACTTATAATGAATACAGCATGTACTCTGTTTTTCTAGAATAGTCCCAACACCTCTTTCTCCCTACCTTTCCACAAACATCTTGGAAATAATTACGTTTGCATGTGTATTTATTGATTTTTGATTTGAAAGGTTAAGAAGAGCAGATCGATACCGACGCGTGGAAACAAACAAACCGTTACTAATTACATCGATTATTTGAGTGATACATTTTTTTCCTTAAATTTATGGCAGCAAGCATTAAAATGAACTAAATTGTAAATATTTCGGTTGTTTAAAAGAGTGAAATCGTTAGATGGCGCGCTAGTCGCTATGGTTGCGTCCATGGATTCGAACCTCAGTCGAATAGAAACGCAAAATAAAATCGTTTTCTAACAGTGGTTACCTAGTTAGACTTAATTTCGAAATAGGTGATATATATGAAAACATATGTACATATGTACATTAGGGTGGAGCGAAAAAATTTTGTTTTTCGAGTTAAAATTTTTTTGGACAAAAAAAGTTTTGTTGGTTTAAACTCTTCACATTTATATAAAAATTACCGAATTTGACGGTTTTTGACTCAAAATTTATTTTAACGCTTAAGAAAAGCATGTTGTCGCTTAAGACTTTTTTTTTAAACTCCAATAATGACCACAAAAAATTTTTTCAAGTTGATAACTTTTAATTGAGCAGAAAGAGGACTCTCTACGGCTTCTAGACCACTTATCAAAAAAATTTTACGAAATAAAAATTTTTTTCGCTCCACCCTAATGTTTATATCTCATATAATCAGCCCATTCCCGCAAATAAACCACAAATAAAACCACAATTAATATTAATTGAAATCAGACTTGGACGCATTTATTGCAAAAACATAATTTTTTTTTTTTTTTTATTAATTTCAGCATTTCTCGGCAGCATCCACCAGCGATTTTGAACTTATTGTGATTGAAAAACAAGAAACTCCAATATGTCCGCAGCAGTCGCGTCGGCACCGACAACAGCAACAACAACGACAGCAACCAAACCTGTAAACAAGGCAACATCGTCAAAAACCAATAATAACAATAACAACAATAATACAACTAAAACAGCAACAAAAGTTGCAAGTTCCAGCAGCGATACGACGAGCAAAACAAACAAAAACGTTGCCGCAAACAAAAGCAAAACTACAACCAGCAGCAACAGCGGCAACAATGATGACAACAATAACAATGGCAAGCAACAACGCCTAAAATACGTAGCGAATGTAGTGCGCGCTTTAGTGACATCACGCAAACCGCCGTGCAAATTACGCGAGGTACTCAACGAGTATCCAGAAATCGAGGGTGAACCATTGAATTTTCGCAAACTTGGCTATACATCAGCCAAAGATCTGTTGAAGGCGACAGGCGAATTTAGTTTTATGCAATATGGCGAAGAGGTGAGTGCGAGAATACATAACATACCTAGAAGTGTGAATACTCTATACATGAGCATTGCGAAAAGTATTTACAATTGCCGCAATCAACAAAATGTTTCAATATTTACTATTTAAATATGTATACTCTGAACAGGGCATAACAAGTTTGCTACACCCAGCAGGAAACGTCAGAGACCCTATAAAATTTATATATAAATGATCAGCATGACAAGCTGAGTCGATTTAGACAAATCCATATATAGCCGAACTAGTACTTTAGTTTCTGAGATATTGATCTTAAATTTTGCTCACGCGCTTTGCTCACCAAGGAGCTGCTCATTTGTCGGAACCGCCGCTATCGCACCACTACGGCATATAGCTGCCATACAAACTGAACAATCGGTTTCAAGTGCTTGCATGGAAAACTTTCTCGTTTGGCTAAATAGCTTCACAAAATTTAGCGTGTATTATTGTCTTAAGGCAATTATACAATCTCCGAATAAATTGTTTACAACGGACCATTATAACATATAGCTGCCATACAAGTTGACCGATCCAACTCAAGTTATTGTATGGATAACTGTTTTATTTGTCAAGATAACTACACAAAATTTGGCATAGATCATTGCAAAAGCCAGCGCTACAATCTCCGAACAAATTGTTCAGATCGGATCACTATAGCATTTAGCTACCGAAACTGACCGATCCAAATCAAGCAAAATACATTTTTATATTCTTTTATGCTTTAAGAAATGCAACTGTGAAGGGTATTATATACAGAAGTTAAGATTTTTATTTTTTTATTTGCTGTTCAAGGTTTAACTGCGCATATGTTTTATCACCCTGTATTATGTGCATTGTGCTCATTTAAGTTGCCGAAATTTAGGACTCATTTGTCTCATTCACTTTTTTTATTTTGTTTATTTTGATTGTCTGAATTTGCCCTCACACTTTGTGGCAGTGTATGCCGATGATGCAGCCAGTATGTCTGCGTCGGTTTCTTCGAAAGTTTTCTAAAAATATACAGTTCTAGTGCAACGAACTTTAACCCCGAAAAATACAGCAAACTAGTGCGGTTTTTGTTTGCATAAATTTGAAATTTGAAGGGCTCACAAGTCTAAAGAGAAACTATCATAAAATAGAAAATTTTCACAGTACATCTGCAAATCTATTTGCTGTTTTTTCTATAAACAAAAGTGTTGAAAAGTGAGGCTAGAATAAAAAATAGCACATGTAAGTCCAACCAGCTGTGTGTGCACCTATACATGCGTACATATATGTTTGTAAAGTTCAAAATCGTTGTAAATTATTCATTGAATCGAATCAAGAGCGCATTATTACTTAACTTGTAGTGAATGTAGCACTCTTTGTACACCAATATCTACGCTGGTGCTGCTCTCGATCACTTTCGATGATCACGTTTGTTTAGCGCTCTGAGTATCGCGGTGAATTTCCACTAAAATAGTTTTACCTCACCCTTATATGTTCACATATTCTAATTGCACATGCTTATTTGTATCTGACGTTCTCACTTATGCTCTCCCTCATTGCCGCAGACATACATAGATGCCGTACCTAGCCAGAAGTCGGCGCACATCTCGTCTATGGTGAGACAGCAAAAGTCAAGCAAAACGACACGCATCATAGCGGCACCACAAGTGAGACAACCGAAACGTTCCGATCAGAGTTGGAACAAGAGTAGCTATTCGTCAAACGTCTTCCAGCGTTTGCCGGCGACGGGTCAGCAGCAGCAACAACAGCAGCGTTGGCGTAGTAATGTGAACAGCACCGCTGCAGGGGCTGGTGATCGCAACAACAACAATAGCCAACAGCAAAACAATAACAATCGCAACAGCAGTGCGAGTGGGCAGCAGCAACACAAACAACAACAGAAAGATAAATCACAACAACAAACACCAACACAGCCACAAGCGAAGACACAGACGCAACAGCAAAAGGCAACGAAGCCACAACAACAACAAGCGTCGAAAACTCAGCAGCAACCGCCTTTGCAGCGCCAAAAGTCGCTCGGCGCAACGACGAGTAAGACCGCAGGCGGTGGCGAGAAGAAAGATCTACGCGAAATGTTGAACGCAAAGGCAGCACAACAGCAGCAATCCAATGGAGGTGGGGCCGCCAACAATGGCAACAAGGCGGCTGGCGAGACTGATTTACGCGAACGTTTAAATGCCAAGCGTCAACAACAGCAACAGCAACAACAAAAGCAGCAGCCAGCCGCTGAACAGCAAAAATCATCGCCGCGTCCCATTTTAGGGCAGAACAACAATTCGGCAATCGCAATTGCTTCGACATTGATATTGGCGCAGCGTGAGCAAAAAATGCAGGAGCAGCATCAGCAACAGCGCGCTCAGCTGTTGGCCGCGCAACACTTACGTCAGCAGCAGCAGCAGCAACAACAACAACAACAACAGCTGATACAACAAAATCTGCTGCAGCAACAACAATTGCAGAAGCAGGCACAGCAACAGCAACAGCTGCAAGCGCAACCACAGCAACAGCAAACGCAGACGCGTCAATTGATGGCTGCTGGCGTTGCCAAACCAGGTGTTGGCATAGGTTCGGTGCAGGATCGTTTACGTATACGTATTAGCAATAATAACAATAATCAAAACGGTAACGGCTTTGGCGCGTCCACAAATGGCAGCAATACACCCGAAACGTCACCGGCGCTATCCTCCACAGGTTCTGACAAACTGCTAACGGCGACGAACTCATTTGTTGCCTCGGCAGCTATGCAGCAGCTGCAGCTGCAACAACAACCACAATTTCATAAACAGCGCTACATCGTCAAACAGCAGCAGCAGCAGCTGCTGCAACAACAACAGCAACAGTTTGGCGAGGCTAATGGTCAGGTAAGTGTCAGAGCACGCTTAAATACAACAACAACTTACTCATGTACGCTCACTCTCCTTGCAGCACGTCATACCGCCGCGCGTTTTCCAATTCAACCCCAAACTCGATCCAATCACATCGCTAACGCAATATTGTGTGGTGCGTCGTTATGCGCCGCCGGCTTTCAGCGCTATACGCTCGAAATTTACACGCCTCTATCAGTGCCGTGTCAATGTGAATGGCACCATTTTCTCCACATACCCCAATGAATATTTACACGAGCATGTTGCTCAAATCTCATGCGCTCAAAAGGCTATTGAACAATTGAAGCTGCAAGAGTCGCGACGTCCGCTACCCTTGTTTTCGGATGGCGATACCGATCTAATTGACAAACTCTACAATGAATTGCAACAACATCCACATGGTATATTCGCCAAAAACATACCGGAGATATTCGAGGAAGCGTACAAACAGTCATTGCCGGAACACTGGTGGACGTTGGTGCAAACGTCACCGAAATTCACCACCGAATCGGCGACCAATAATGCTGTGATTGTCTTTGCCAACGAGGAGGCGGATAAAGAGAAGCGTAAGAAATTAAGTAGTAACTGTTAAAATGCATGAAAAATTTGAGTTTGTGAAGTCGCGCATACAGCGGTCACATTGTAATAAAAAAAATTGCTACAATCTGCGAAAATATTGCTTAGATCAGATCACTATAGCATATACCTGTTATACTAATTGACCGATCAAAATCAAGATATAGGTTTTCTTATACACTTATATGCTACAAGAAATGCAGCTGTAAAAGGTATTATAGCTTCGGTGCCGCCGTAGCTAATGTTTTTTCTTTTTTTTTGTTCATATTTGCTTACCACTTAACTTAATTAACCACTTATTTACATATTTTTGTTATGTACGTATGTAGCTGGCAGCACCGGTACAATCATACAAATGGATGGCATTGCTCTACCATGGAAGCAAAAATATTGGCAATTGTATATCACATATTGCGCTTCAACAATTGATGTGTGGGCACGCCTCTTCGGCAAGGAGTATAGCGAACGCTTTGATAGCGTTATGAGCGAAATCGATGTGCATATGTCAACGCAAAAGACGCGTCCATTATCGTTGGCATGCAAAAATATCTATTTAGTGTGCATCAATGACTGCTGGCATCGTGTGCGCGTCGAAGAGCTGGACAAACCGAATGCAACGGCGCGTTGTTTCTTCATCGACTATGGCGATAGTGATTGGGTGGCTGTGAGTGAATTATATATATGTGAGGCACAATTCTTGCGTTTGCCAGCGCAAGCGGTGCCTTTGTCGCTGTTCGGTTTGGAAGATTTCGCTGGCAATCCGAATGCGCGGCGGCACTTGGATGCGATGTTGTCCAGCAAATCGGTGGTGAGTGAGATTTTGACAAAGGAGAGTGACTTCTACAACACCGAATCGAGCGCTTGTGGTAAAATACAAGTTGTATTGTATGATACCTCAACCGAGGAGGATGTGAATCTGAATCCATTGCTGTTGAGCAAGATTTGCGATGATACACCGCCGCCAGAAATCAAACACAAAGGCGCCACCAATGTGCTGGTCTCACATATAAGCGATGAGGGTGATCTATATTTGCAGATACTCAACACTGACTTTAAATATGTGCAGGTGTGTATTGAGGCAAATATTGAACTGCTATTGAATCAATATTCTTACATATTTAATTTGTTTTAGAAATTAATTCAACAACTCATCGAATCGAAATTCAAACGCGATCAACACAAGATCACTGCTAACGATCTGAAACGTTCTAATCTCTTCTTAATATGTGACGACACCAATGACGGCGAGACACAGTGGTATCGTGGCGCACTCGCCGACATGCCGAACTATCGCGTCGAGGACGAAGAATTTGATATATTATATGTGGATTATGGCATAACACGTCGCACGCACATTTCGAACATTTTCCGTTTGGAATCGCTAAGTACAGCGTTGAGCAAATTCCCCAGACAAGCGATACGCGCGCGGCTGCACAACATACCGCCAATCAACAAGAGCATTGTTGGGCGCATGCGCGCATTGCTGCCATCCAATTGTGCGGCTTTTGTGAGTAAACTTCTATTTTACGCTTTTTTTTCTTCTAAATTTCTTCGAACAAATTAAGTTGATTTTTAAATTTTATAGGTGAAAATGAATAAACCCGGCAAATTGCCATATGTCACCATCTATCGTCGTCATGAGAGTTCTGATATGCTGTGCAATATAAACGAGGATATACGCATGGAAGCCGAATTGGAATCGTGCGTGTGCTAAAATATATTGCAAAGTTTAGTTAATTTGTATTTGTCATACATTTCAGTTCTACGGCTTCGAATGGCGAGGACGATGATGTGTCCATTAATGGCAAACACTTTGGTCTGGCTAAAAATGGCAGTGCTGGTAGCTTGAATTCGCCAACGACACAACAAACCTTTGTAGAAATGACGCGTGGTCTAACCCTCACTTCTTCAGTGCCAAATTCACCACAAAAAGTAGCTGAGCTACCAAAACTACAAAATTACAATGCTATACCTAGTGATCCAAATGATTATCTGGAAGTGCGTGTCACTATGTCGGCGAATCCTTCCAATTTTACGGTACGTTCGATGGCTAAACATTAATAAAATAAATAATAATTTTTCAACTTGCCTTAGATCCAACCCTACAAAGACTATCCACGCCTTCGTGATCTCATGAAGGAACTGCAGGAGTACTGTGAAAATAATGATGAATTCATACCGGCTGATATGGTGGAAATAGGACAGGCCTATGCGGCCAAAAATCCGGATGGTTTCTATCATCGGTAAGTTGCTATATTTTAGTTAGAGCGGCACTATTAGAAAAACATATTGGATATTTTTGAAAAAACGTACAGTTTAATATGTAATTTATCTAATACATATTTCTCTACTGCAGTGTTGTTGTAGTAAACACCTACAATGGTGATATGATACACGTTTGTTTCTGTGATTTCGGTGATATAGCAATTTTGCGCAGCGACCAATTGAAAATATTACCGGCGAAGTATCGTCAATTACCGAAAATGTCGATACAAGCTAAATTGCATGGTGAGTAAGACTTTTTTTAAATTGTTTTTATGATTATTGTTTTTTAAAAATAATTTTAGTTTTAAATAATTTTTTTCATATTTAAAAAAAATATGTTTTTGATGAAATTTTTTTTATAATTCATTTGATTGATAATTTGATTTAATAATTTTTTCAAATACTTTTTTTAAGTTTTATTTAACATGTTCTTTTTTTAATTAAAAAAAAAAATTTTTTACATTGCAATACATTTTTTTATAATATTTTTTTTTCTATAAATTTTTGTTTTATATGTATGTATGTTTTATTTTTTTTTTAAATAATTTTTGTTTAATACCTTTTTTATTTATAATTTTTTTTTAATATTTTCATTTTTTTAAAATAATTTTTTAAATATATTTATTTTTTTAAATGTATTATTTAATTTTTTTAAATGTATTATTTAAATTTTTTAAATATACATATATATTTTTTAAATGTATTTATTATTTAATTTTTTAAATTATAGTTATTATCTATTTTTTTTTAATAAATAAATTGGTTAAAAAATATTTATTATTTAATTATTTTAGATATATTTTTTTAATATATTTATTTTTAATATATTTATTTTTAATATTTATATTTTAGTATTTTATTAACATGTTCTTGTGTTAATTTAAAAACAATTTTTTGATTTTGATACATTTTTGTTTGATAAATTTTTTTTATTCATTTCATTTAAAATATTTTATTATTTTACATATATGTAGTTTTTTTTTTAATAATTTTTGTTCAATACTTAATTTATTTATAATTTTTTTTTTAATTTCTTGTTTTAATTAAAAAAAGTATTTTTGTTTGAATTGAAACTAAATTTTGCTCGAATTTTTTATTTTAATTTATTTTAAAAAAAATTTTATTAATTTTTTAATATATTTTTTAATATATATATATATTTTTTTTAATATATATATATTTTTTTTAAATATATATATATTTTTTTTTTTTAATATATCTATTTATTAATATTTGTATTTTAGTATTTATATTTTAATATTTATTTTTATTATCCTAGGCATAACGGCCACGCATGGCGACTGGAGTCTGGAAGATTGTCTACGCTTCCGTCAGCTAACAGTCGGCCAAAAGTTCGTAGCATCCATAAAACGTATTACATATGATAAGTTGGGTTCACCTGACACACCAATACTCGACTTGGAATTGATTGATGTGACTACAGATGAAGACGTCTATATACATGAAATTTTGTTGCAGGAGCAACGTGCTGTTGCAATCGACAAACCTGAGTCTAACTAAAAATGTCACTCAACTCAACACAAGAGAAAAACGAAAAGAGAGTTCATATTTCTTAAATATAACGTAGTTTTTAGCGTAGGTTAGTGCAGAGTTTCTTTTCTTTTGAAGGCAAGCGTTGAAGCAATTCATTTAGGCTTTTTGTACTAACTTAAATGGTGGTTAGTGACAAAAATATTTTATGGCGTCGCTAATAATTGAAACTATAATCATATACATGATGCTCTTCGTTTCATGTGGTTTTATTTTTTGACTTGATCACTTAAACTGAATGAAATTCACGTTTATACTCATTAGAGCGCGAAAATCACATTCCGTGCATTTTTTTCACTCACTATTTTCACATCGCGTTGATATATACATAAAGCTAAGCGTTTTAGTCGTTTGCACTTCTCAAGCATTGAATGAAAGTTACTAACAAAATTATAATTTTCTATTTTATAAATTGAATTGATATTATTACTAAACGAAAGGTTAATTCTTCGGCATATATGCGTGATTTTTGTAAGCATATGAAGATATCACTTGGTAAAAATACTTATTATATAACATTATTATTTTATTTTTTATTTTAAATGTTTAAAACGAAATGTAGTTATATAAGTTATTTATGCTATTTTGTGTAATATTCGTATTACTAAAAGTTGAAAAATGAAATGATTAAAATGTGTAAAAAACGAGTAATTTTTAAAAAAGTTTTTAACATTTTAGAAATGAAAGCGTAGTTGGTGCAAAAAAATTATTGTTTAATACCAACTAACCCTACTATTGCCAAAATAATACTATGAAATTGCGATTTAGTAAATACTGTTATTTGATTTTTTATTGTTTCATGCAGACGAAACAGAAAATGTATGACAAAAGATACGATTTAGCTATAAACGGAGATAAAGAAATCGTTAACGAATAATAAGCATAACTTGATGTTTGAAAAAAATACGAAAAGCAAATAAAATGAAATGGAATTAACTTAAATTATTCCTAAATATGTAAAAAACATGAAAGAACTTTATTGAAAAAGAATTATCCAAATAATGATACCATATATTAATTAGACTGTTAATTTCTCGTTGACGGCAGCGAAGTTGAATAAAATGGTTTTGTTATTATTATAACACTTTTAAATTTAAACTTTTTAATTTGTAGTAATATCTTTTATTGTAATATTTTTTCTTTAATTTTTAAAAATGTTTGAAATTATAAAATTATAATTTTATTTATTTCATATTTTACAAGTTTTTATAATATTTTTTTTTGGCTTTTTCGTTTTTTTTTTGTTTTCTTTTAATTAAATTTTTTTTATAGTTTTTTTTAAATTTTTTTTAAGTTTTTTTTTTAGTTTTAATTTTTAATTTTAATTTTATATATTCTTTTGTTATTTTTATTTTTAATTTTTTTACCTTTTTTTAATTCTTATAATTTTTTAAATTTTTTTTGATAACCTTACTGCAGTGAAATGAAAGTTATGTTAAAAAATAAGGTGTATTCCCTCGAAAAGGTTGTATTGAAGTTATGCACGCCTTCAAGCGATGCCTGCTGACAAAGCTAGCCAAAAACAATTATTAATTTCAATGAAATCTTATGAAAATCGTTTAAACTAGTTGACTTAATTTTTAATTTTCAGCCATTAATTTAATTTTATATGATTTATTATTAAATGTAAACTTTTTGTTCTGCTTCGCTCGCTTAATTCAAAACAAATATTTAAATATGCGAAATATCCACATATTTGCTTAGTGTATAAGCTACGAAAACAATATACTTACATACTTACAACAAGCAAATTATTAACAGAAAAACTATAGATATATAACCAGATTAACATACATACATATATACATGTGTATGTGCGTATAAATATCTATGTATTCCGAAAGACACTCATACATACATATTCTATATATATGCAATAAATTGGATCAATGTGTAAAATGTAATTGCAGAGATGAAAGTTGTCTTATTACTATTTTTTTCAAGTTAAAAAATCATATTTTAGGTAAGTGGAGACTTATTATTTTGGAGTTTTGCAAAAAAAGTTTACTTGTTGAGCAGAAAACATGTGAAATATTATTGGAGACATATTTTAGGACTTAGACAAGGAGTTATGAAGATAAAAACGTTTGCTCGCCTAAAAATATGCAACAGATATTTGATTCCAACGCTTGTAGCACTTATTAATTTTGTATATCAGCTTTCACGCGTGAGGAACTGTTGATTATGTAAGCAAATTTTTCTTAAAGCTAATAGAGAAAGCCATAAAAGATAGATATGACGAATAGTTTAGTAATTATTGAGAATTCAACAATTATTTGTGGCGAATTCAAAATTAATTGAAAGATTATTATGTTAAAATGCTCAGGATATAGTAAACTGCTTTAGCCAGCATTGCATTACCCACAGCAACGAGTTTGCATACGCTAATAAATCATTAAATGGAGCGCGAACGAGTAGCATTAGTGAAATGCTAAGCAATACGAGTATTCGCTGTTGCTGTGCAAGCGGTGATAATTGCAAGTGTTCGTATATCAAATATAAACTAAAAATGCTTTCTTTATGCATAAAAATGTAACGTGTTTGCGTATCCGAATATATAGTAGCCAACAAAAACTTAAAATATCAATTGAATTTACAAATCAACGTAATTTGATATATGCTCAATATTTTACGTTTCAAATTCACTCGCTAAATTTGATAAACGAACTACTTAATGTACTCGTTGAAATGCCAGCGCTGACAGATGTTAAACGAGCAACCTGCCATTTGCCGTCTGTTTTTGACTTTTCCTGTCAGTTGATTAAAGTAACGCGATAATAACACACCACTAAATTCTAGTAGTGCATTGCTTGTGTGAACATTTTTTTTGTTGTAAAGCAATTTGAATTGAGCAATAATATTTAAACGCCATAAGACTAATAAAAAAATTGCTAATTGGTTAAAATATTCGCTTACTAAAACAAAGTTGTACAATCGTTTACTAATAACAAATCAAACTAATTTAGCAAACGCGCAACACTTCTTGCTATTAGCCAGTACATAGAGGAAGCAGGTATCGACACATACATGCGCTTGTTATGGCGTCCACTGGCAAATAATCGAAGCGAATTATTAAATAAAATGTGATATTAATGTGCAAGAAATTGGCAAAAAAAGAAAGGAATGAGTTGAGTGCTTGTGAAAATATTGTAAAAATTAAAAAATATATATGAAAAAATATTGTGACTTGTGTGTTGAGTTAATAGTTTTTCGCTTTGCTTTGTACAAGTGAAGGAATTTGGCGTCGGTGCCGATTTGCGGATCGTTGTGGTAAAGCAGGCATACAAGACAACAGATATTTGGTAAACACCAACGCTGACCAATAGCAAGTGTAAGTAATTTATGGAATTTATTTAATAGTTATGCAAATGAAACTACAATTATTTGTTAGAATGTGGTGGCGTTAGAGTTAAATATACAAACAAGCATTAGAAAGTTTAATTTAATTATTACAAACTTACATATTGTATATTCATTCATACATATGTATATATGTTATGCGTTATATATAATGGCAACAGTTGCTGCTATATTCGTGAATTTTAAACAAAAATACAGTTTTTACTAAATTTTAAAGTCATTTACTAAGCTATACAATTGTTTACCTTGGTTTTGCGCTGATTGTTGATAAAAATTACACTCATATTTTATTTGTTGTGTGTTAGGTGTATTTACTTACGTTCCTACAAATATCGTACACTACCTGCCTACAACCACAGCAGCAGCAAAAGCATCTCGCCCAGCAGCCGTAAACAATATTACTTTTGCTCAGTTTATTTGTTGTTGCTCAGCTTGTTGGCTCTCTGTGCGTTATTGCACTGTATGTACAAATATGCATATGTAAATATGTCAAAAACTTGTATATACATATGTACATAAATACATACATACCTACATAATGAAATGAGTATAAATTATTTGCATATTCATATGTATGTATGCGCATATTTATATATATTTGTATTTTGTAATTTTTCCGTTCTTTTCCCTTTGGTATTGTGCGCGATTATTATTTTATGTGTTTAGATCCAAGCTCAGTGCAAGTTCTTAAATATTTAACTAAAATAAAAATACACAAACTATATATATTATTAGATTACAAAAAATAATCTATAGTGGAACTTCTATTAATCAAATTATAAAATCAAAGTATAAACAGCTTGTCGAGCTGAGCCATGTCCGCCTGTCGGTACATCTGTACATACGCTAACTAGTACCGCACTTGTTGAGATATCGTTCTGTAATTACATGGGCTTCCTCAAACAAAAAACGACATATTTTCAATATTTTTTTTTTATAAAAAAAATGTAGTATTTTATTCAAACTTTTTATTATTCCAAAGATACATATTTTACAACGATTTTGTGAAATTTTCAAAGGCAAATATTCAAAACCCCGCCATTACGACGTCAGTTCCGGCAGATCCTCGGGAAAAAGGTGTCTCCGCGTTGACAGCAGAACTTCTCACAGCATCTTATGAGATAAAAAAATACGGGCTTTTATTAAGACCATAAATTGGGTATTGGACAAAAGAAAAAAAAGTGAAAATAGTCTGTCAAAAATCGTTTTTACAAAATAATGCAAATTTTGGTGAAAATTTCTCTATTTTTTTTTTATATTGTAATTGAAAAAACTTCTTTGTTCAAGGCTTTGTAAATTATATCTCGAAGACCTGTGTAAAATTTTATTAAAATCGTTTAAGTAGTTTAGTTCGCGAGAAATCTTAACAATCAACTTTGAAAACACAGTTTCGAGAAAAACGCTTTTAAAGTTTTAAGTGACTATATATTTAGCAGACCTCGAGCACTCAATTTTCTAAGCTATGTCTCCAAAACGATTACTCTGATCAACTTGAGCATTTAGGACAATATTCTAGAGATGTTATAAAATGAAATAAGGCAATAAAAAAGTCGACCCATGTAACGCTGCAAGTTTAAAAATCATTCACGGTTTCTAAAACATATGTATATGTATGTATTTATATAGAGAAGGCACTTGCGGATAACTGCATTAAATACTCACGTGAACTTGAAATAGATTAGAGTGCGTAAAAAACCACTTAGGGTAAGTGTATTATATCATTATATGTATGTACAATTATTATAGAACTGCTATTGTTTTTATTAATAATATATATTAATTGAATTATTACACTGGCGAAATCAACTCTCTCACTCGCCCTCACTATCTCTCTCTACGATTGAAAATTTTTTCAAATTCTGTGTAAGAAAATTATTCGCACTGCTGAGAGTGCTGGTATTTATCAAAAAAACGCCGGAACAATTGACTTAATATAGATTCAATGAATTCTTCAAAATAATTTCTTTACAAAAAACAACAATTAAAGTTAATATTTATGGGATGCCTTGCAGATTCGCTCTACGTAAAATATACAATTTATTTTGCACTGTTCTTTTATAACTTTTAACATGCTGACTTTGAGCCACAACATTTTATCACGATTTATTTATTTACATACCCATACATATGTATGTATGTATGTACTAAGATATATGTATATCTGCATACCTTGGACATATAATATAAAGTGATTTTCTACCGCTACTACAAGTATTTTTGTTGCTATGCGTTGACTAACATGCAAGTTGAATATATTTATAATTGTACACACATAGGTATGTACATATTTGTGTATGTGTATAGGTAGATTTATGTATGTAAACATACACTACATGAAAGTATGTAAAATCTTCAACTTTTGTTTTATAATATTTTATTTATAATTTTTTTCGTGGATGCGCGCTTATAATAACCGACTACAACGCTCGAACGGATATTGCCATTGCGCCAAAGGTAACCGCCAAATATACACATTTACATATGTATGTACTATGCTTGCTTGTATGCATGTATGTGCTTCTATGTAAATTAATGTTTTTAAGCAATATGTCAACGAACGCATTGGTTTGGCGATTGACCGGCTTTTTGTGTCCAAAGACACAACTTCGGCTTTTGCTTACTACATATGTACATACTTTCTAAGAATTCGGTTCGTTTTCCTTTGGTGTGCGAAAAGCTTTTTTGTCTTTATGTTGTGTGTCTTCAACTTAATTTGCATTAACAAATAGCTTTGCCTTTTATTTTGCAAATTTTTGTGCGATTGCACATTTCCGACGATTTCTATGAATCGAATTTTGGGAGTAGGCGTTTAAAAAAGTAAGAGTTATCTAAGTTCTTATATTGAGTAACCAAATAAAAAGCAATAATATACAATAAATTGTCAAAATTTTGGTATATGATTTAAGTACATACATGTATCATCGTTATTTAAAGTTTCGACTACGAAGATATAGCTAAAAACAAAATATTGCGTCGAGTCTCGAATAATCTAACTGCCATTCATATTTTTGATACATTCCAACACATACATACTTATATATTTATTGATCATATATACTTATGTATGCATGTATCTAAAGCATATTTAATTTCTATGTTTTATTAATAATTTCCCGCCAAAAGAATTCTTAATGAATCGTTAATTAAATTAACTCAACAAAAAATGGCTAGAAAATTGCCATTAATTGCTTTCAAATGCATTCGGAGATGCCAATGCTTTCAATGATCGTTCTCGAGCGTCTGTAATAGGCGTTAAAATTTAATTGTAAGTAATGGCATCTAAATTAAATTGAATATTATAGCAATACAATGAATAGGAAGGCTTTTCGTTTTCTTTTTTCAACTCAACTAGTAAATTGAATAGAGAGAATTATGTGTTCGAAACCTGTAAGAAAAATTTATACCTAACCTTGAATAATTATTATTAGCCTTCTTAGACAGTTTCTTATAATTAGCTGATTGGTAGTATGTGGACTAAACTTTTGCATGTTTGAAACCCAACAAATCTTGCTAAAGAGTCGAATTACCCGGTTTTGAGGTTAAATGGTTACATTTCCTGAAACATAAAACGACATATTTTTAATTTTTTTTATAAAAAAATTAAATAAAATACCTAATTATATATAAATAAAATATTAAATTTTTTTTATTATTCCAAAGATACATATTTAACAAAGATTTTGTAAAAATTTCAAACCAAAATATCCAATTACGACGGCATTTCCAGCAGGTCCTAAGAAAAGAGGTGGGTCCGCGTTGACGGCAGAACTTCTTACAGTATCATACTTATGAGTTAAAAAGAGACGTCTTTTAATTAAGACCATAAATTAAGTATTGAACGAAGGAAAAACAAAAAAATTCAAATTTTTTAATTTTTACAAAAAATTGCAAATTCTGGTGAAATCTTCCCGAAATTGTTTGTTTTTTAAATAATTGCAATTGAACAAAAAATTACATACTTCATTCAAGACCTTGTGAATTATATCTCGAAGACCTGTGTAAAGTTTCATAACGCTTGGTTGGGTAGTTCGCAAGAAATCTTGACAACCGTCTTTGAAAACAGAATTTCTAGAAATACGCGTTTAAAGTTTAAAGTGATTATATAGCTGATCTCAAGCATGCAATTTTTCTAGACTGTATATACAAAACTATTACTCTGATTAACTTGAGCATTTAGGGCAATATTCGAAAGATGTTATAGAATTAAATAAGGTAATAAAAAAAGTCGAGTTTTTGAAGCCGTGATATGCATGTAACCCTTAAGGGGTGACAATTGCCTGATAACCTAAAAAAATACGATTTTTAAGGTTATTAAAGAAACCGAAAATTTTGTTTCATTCCATGTAAAACTGTAATTAATTGTATCGAGAACTATATACAGAACATTCAGACAATTTTTATAGTGAGTTTTTATAGATATTTGAGATATCTTTTTATAATTTCAATATGTTATTTTAAAAAGTTTTACCTATCGATAAAAATCGATCTTTTTTAAATCTTACACTAGGTGTGCGCCTTAAGTTTTTAATTTTTTCTCTTAGTTAAAAACAAAAAACCTCTGGGTTGCATTTAATATAATAGAAAGTCTTGTAATTTTAGGGAAAAACATCAAATTGAACAAGAAAGAATTTGAACTCAACATTTTCTGCATAAAGTTGTAATATTTTAAAAAAGATGTAAATAAACCTCAAAGTCTTTCTTTTGATAAAACGAAAATATCTCGTTATACATAAAAAATTTTCTAATTAAATAAAATTTCAATTTTGTAGAAAACAAAAACACTTTAAGTGTCTCAGGGTCTCTTGGAACATAAAATATTCCCTTTCGCTGCCCAATTAGTCCGCTCCAAACGTCAAATGCCAAACGTCACACACTCATTTAAGCAATTGCTGCTGCGCGTGAGCTTCTGATTGATCGTTGGTGTGTGTACACTTTCAATATACAAAGATTTATATGTATGTATGTATTTAT